ATTTCAAAATATTTCAAAGGTGTTAAACTAGTCTTTTACAACATACTGGGACGTAACAGCCTTCAGCATCTGCTTAGTGCTCACCGACATAGAGTACGCACACACAAACACATTCACAGAAATGTGAAATAAACCTGGTCTTCCTAGATTCTGCTGGCTGCCTCACGCTTGTTCAGGGATGGACTTTGTCGTTCTCTTCCCTCTATCATTTCATGCTGCGTTAGGAGAAAATTAAATATTTAAAAATGGTGTCTGCAGAGGCGGCTGCTAGCACAGCTAAAATAGAGAGGCTTTGTGGCAGGAGTGACCAGATTTTAAATGCAGAGAAATCAATAAATAAGACAGGGGTATGCTTGCTGAAGCACAGTCTGTGTGAGCGGGAGCACGGTTTATAATAGGTAGTGAGCCTCTGGGCTCCCAGGGAAAGCAGCTGTCCCTTGGTTATGAATATGCAGGACCTTACTCAACACACTGCTCGCTCGCTCTCTCTCTTTCTCTCTCTCTCCCATCAGTTCTTGTGAGTAGGGAACACACTATTCCACTCCAGGATGCTAATGGAGGGTAGCAGGCGGGCAAACAGCCCAAACTACTGGCATTTCAAATATCACACCCATTTACGCAGTAGGAGGCCTTCGTCAGAGCTGCTTCAGCTCACAAAACATCACACCCATCTATAAGAGAGGAAGAAAGAGATGGAGAGAGGGATAACAGGAAAAGAAAAAGATAGAGAGCATAATCACCCCATCACATTTCTAATAAACCATCACGCTGTAATACCCCTCTTGCTCCGCCAATCAGAAAGTGTCAACCCTGACCTAGAAACGGACATGCACCAAGGCTTTAATGATCTGGGACATCAATCTAAAAAACAAATAGGGGGACACTAAATTATACAGCATTAACCTCCAGGGTGTGCCTGCGAAGGCCCAAGGCTGGGCTGCCTTCGTGCGGCTGAAATAGAGGCCAGAGGCCCAACACACACAAGCACCTGTCACACTGCTGAAGCTCTTGGCCTCCACAGCAGGAGAGCAACGGCTCTGATTAATGAGAGAAAAGGCAGGAAAGAGGGGAAGAGACGGGAGGGCGAGCGAGATGTTTCTATGGCACAATACAGCCATTTTTTTTAAAATAATAATTTAAGAAATTATTGATGGGTCCAGTTCATCACTTTAAACAAACCCCAAAACACCAAGGTCTCCCTTTTCATAACTCATCCCATGGTAGAAGAAAAAGGAAAAAATGATGATACAAGCCACACAAATGTATTCAATGACCCTGAATCACATGTCCTTCAGCACAGCACAGAAAAACAACACACAATTGTTAGTTATCTTCTCAGATGACCTATGTAAAAAATACTGCTTTAACCCACTTATGATCCAGTGGCACCCATGCAAGGCAAACCTTGAATTAGATCTTGGGAACAAATGGTGAGTAATAAACAGTCAAAACCTAGTAAATGAGACAAAACCCAACCTGAGCAGCACAAGCCACATTTTCTCCCATATAGATGCATGAGATTTAAATGCAGGAAAGTCATCTTCCTTATTTGCTTAACTGTCTAAAGGTGACATCAAGAACAGAGAACACTGTATGTGTGGCATTCATTCTGCATCTGAAACTTTTACGAAAACATTTTAATAATCAGGACCTGCATTTAAAAGTGCTGTGCCAAACACTAGCCTATTTCTACACCTCTGAGGTCACAGATCCTCTGGGAGCACAGCACATTCAAACAGCATGGCGTTATTTTTCATAATCTTAAATAACTGACTGCAGAGTCCAGGGATTTGCAGCGGCACGTTATTGTTTCCTTATTCTGAAAGCATTCTCAAGGACGACACTGTTGAATAAATATGAGGGAAATGTGATGACCTTCTAGCTGTGCATCTAGTTACTGGTTGATTCATTGGCAGCGATGACGCCCCTCCTCACCACCAGCCATTTATAATATGATTAAGCCTATTTGGCCTGCTGCGCTCTCCGAGTTGTGTAAATGATAGGCTATATTATAAAGGAAAGAATCTTTATGACCATTGCAGCGTCCAATAGCTCATTATTGTTACTTGGAATGTAGGAATACTTATTGACCACTGGAAGGGACAGATCCATTTGCATTACAGCATCTTAGAAAGAGCAGCGCTGAAAAGTGTGACACACAGCGAAGAGAACAACAATGGCTCTGGTGAATCCAGCATTCTTCTAAATTTTGATTAGTAGCTTAATACAGAATAAATCCATGTAAAGTCAACCCACTTCGTAATCCCACATTTGCACGTTCGTTGTTTAAAAGATTCACATGGAGGGATTTAAACCAGGATTAGATTTATGTATGAAGCTACTGCACTTTTCTCCCTGGGAAAAAAAAAAGAAAAAAAAAGAATTCAACCACAAAACAAGCCCTGACAACTCTGCTCATTCTCTGTCTCTGTCTCTCTCCAGCTGAGGTACTACAACTAGTATATCAGGACCTTCTTTTGTGTTCAGCTGCTGTGCCACAAAAAGCAACAATAGCCATTTGTTTGCACTACAAACTGTGAGTGAGCGAGTGCGTGTGTGCCTTAGTAAGTGAGCGAGCCTGTCTGTGTGTGTGTGTGTGTGTGTGTGTGTGTGTGTGAGCAAGAAAAAAAGGAAGGGGGAGGTTTCAATTCATTTCCACTAATGGTTTCCAAGCATCTCCACAGAATCAAGCAGCTGTCAAGTCAATGCATCAGAGTGGCGAGCTGCTCTCCCTGAAGAGGAGCGAAGCACATCAGGACGCTCGGCAGAACAGATGCTCCTTTCCTTATATTACCCTCACCATACATTCACAAACCAAACAACTAAGAATGGGGCTAGAAACACCATGTATTAACACTAAAAACAGACCAAATACACTAATACCCAACACAAAAACTGATCCAAAGATGATTTAATCCTAAATGAAGACACAGTGCTGCAATCATGTACCAGTGTACCTCACTGGTTTGAGCTATAATCAGTAATGATGGTATATTAAAAAAAAAAAAAAGAAAAAAAGCAGGTAGCTCATTATATGATCAGAAAGCTCAAATTCACCAGAGAGAAGGACCTGAGGCACTATCACCACAGCTCACGTCATTACGTTCAGTGAGAGCCTCAAAGGCTTTGGAAATTAAACCTGTTTCACAGATCAAGCTCAGCTTAGCCTGCCACACACAATCATACTTTAAGGAAGGGCAGGCAGCTAAATGGAATCTACACTTATGAAAAGAAATGGATAAATAAAACATACTGCAGACTAACAGGTCCCAACAAGTATGCAACAAGTTACTAAGGACTGCAAGTTATTTCTGAGCACCAGCACAAAAGCTTGAATATCCAAACAAGCCTAAATCTTGAACTAGAACTTTTAATCCCAATAATTTCCTACATAATTACAGCCAAGGTCATCAGACATTCAGATATCCAGATCATTTCTAGGGATCATTGCACACTATTTTGACTTATCTTGTAATCATTTTCTTGGTCCATTACTGTAAAACAGCTACGAGTTTGCCCATTCCAGTGTGCACTATAAGTACCCTAACCTATGCAGCAAGGTGAGGTGCACCTGCTCTGTAAACAGCCACAAGCGTCACCATACCCAATGCCAAAAGTCAGCCAGAGGGGTATAAAGAAGGGGTTTTCTAGAGTAATCTAATAATCTAATACCTCTGGGATGAGCTAAAGTGGTGCTTCTGAACCAGAATTAATGATCCAACACCAACACCTGACCTAATGCTCTTGTAGCTGAATGCAATCAAATCCTCACATCAATTTTCCAACATCCAGGGAAAAACCTACCGAAAAGAATAAAAGCTGTTACTGTAACTAAGGAGGGCAAACCCACTCTTAATACCCTTGTTTTCAGAAGAACAGCTGAGCAGGCGTCTACAAACTTTTGGACAAATAGTGCAGGACGCATCAAAACTTCCCATGGCCAGTTTAATCCAGTTTTTCTCGCGTTGGGTTTATTAATGGTAAAGTGGTTAGAAGTATCACGAGAACAACATGGCCATGGCGAAAAGATCGCTGTTCGTGAGTAGATTTAAATAAACAAGTCATTCATGCCGCAGCTTCCTCAAGGAAGAGACACAAAAGATAAAGACGAGAGAGAGAGAGAGAGAGAGAGAGAGAGAGAGAGAGAGAGAGAGAGAGAGAGAGAGAGAGAGAGAGATTGATTTACAGTTCCTCGAAAATAAACTGCAAAATGTGTTCACGAACTAATAAAAAAAAATAAATCCACGACAGTTTTCCTTTGTTTACTTTTGAATGGCGGTGCTAACGAGGTCATAAAAGCATAATGACATTTAAACAGGCTGACTACTTCCATTAGCACTGCAGCGACATTTAAACTGAATAAACTGCGCTGAAACTTTCATATAAATAAGTAAACAAATAAATGAAATTATGGTTAGTTGCTCCGCATGTACGTATCTCATCACAACCTAATCCACACACCACGAGTTTTTCAGTTTTCCTTCCTTTAACTGTTCAACAACCACATGAAGAGTCAGCACACAAACACAAAGAGGCTGGCACAGCGGCGGCTGAGGCAGGCAGGCAGACGGAGAGACAGATAGTTCACTTTCATTAGAAACTAGAAAACAAGCTACTTCACCGCAAGACTGATGTAAAAGACCCACCAGTCTTGATAGTAAGTTTCGTCGATGATTTGGCTTGCTGCCCAGTAACGTTAGCAGCTTAATCGCTCATGAGATAACTTAACTCAGCAAGTCACCATTTTTCCAATCCTTTTTTTTTCTTATCTTTTCTTTCCATCTGCCAAATGTGTTTACCTTTCTTTGGCGAGTTTTGGTTACTCATCATAGTGTAGTCTCTCCTGAGTCTGAGCCGGAAGGCTAATGCTGTGGGCGAACTATCACTATCACTCCAAACAACGAGATAAACGCAGGCAGGCAGCGGTGTGTTCAGCTAAGCTAAACTGTCCGGAAAATTAGCCTAATAGCTAGCTAACTAAAGAAAACACCGAAACTCACCTTCTTCTCACACTTTCACACCTCCGCTGCGGATGCTGTTAAAGTACCAGATACTTCATTCGGGAGAAAAACAGATCTTCTTCTCGTCGACTTTCGAAGAGGGAGACACCGGTAGCAGATGTGAGGGAAGCGGCTGAGCGCTGTGAGTGAGTGAGAGAGTGTTTGAGTCTCCGGATTAAAGGAGACTCTGCTCGCGCTTCATTCTGCTTCAGTTCAAGGAACGGCCATGACGTCACAACGCCGTCTACACGCCTGCTTACAGTCAGTGATAGCAGAGCTACTTCTCAGATAGTTTCCCTCTCCTAGACTCATTTAAAGGTTTACTGCCATTCAAAACACATGAAATTGACGTCTAAGTCTGAGGACACAATTTCGTAACTAAGCAGGTGTAGATATAAATAGAAATCGATAGACTGATATGGTTGATTGCTTACTGTCACACTGATTTACTGAATTTTTTTTTTGAATTGTTGCCTTTTTAGCTCATATTATTATTCTGTAATAAATTCATCACAATTAAAAACACATCGGTATTTACTTGGTTCAATGTTAACACTATGGAAATCTATTTATTTCAGTGTTGTTTTTATTAAATTGCAGTCCTCTTTGCACAAATTATTAAAATGTGAAGAAAAAAAAGTTCGTTCAACTTAAAACGTTAAGGCAACTTACGTCACAACTTTTTTGATTTACTCAACTTGAAAGAATGAGTTCAATTAAAAAAAGGAGTGCTGTGAAGTAATTTGTCACTGAGTTTTTTTAGTGTATAGAATGAACAGATTACCATTATATGAATATAAGTATAGGCTCAATACCAACATGGATTTTTTATGTGTTTTTTTTTTTTTGTTTTTATTAAATTGTGGCCCTTTTTGCACATAGTATTACAGTGAAGGCTGTGAAGTAATTTGTCTTAAAATTTTAAGTCATGTTTATTTCTTTTTTATTTTATTTTTTACAGTGAATAAACTAAAAATATATTACTATAGGCTCAATACTAACACTATGGAACTTAAACAATGGAACTATAGTTTTAAATTAAGTATTGTTTTTTATTAAATTGTATACCTTTTAGCACATATTAGTTACAAAATTAGTCAATCACAAATTAGAATATATTGGGTATTTGCTTGCCTCAATATCCTCAATATTTGAAGACTTGTGTTTGTCTCTCAGAGTCTGTGGGGAGGGGGGGGTGCTGATTGGAGACCTTCTGACCTGGTTTGGATTTGGAAGTTGGACTGAGGGTTGAGAGAGGAAATGGGTAAAGGGGTTGTTGGCTCAGCGTACCAAAAAACACAAAAAAAACTAACATGTTGCTCAGTCTTCCACCAGCAGCAACATGAGAGAGACCTTACACACTCTGATGTAGAGAGGCTACTGTAATTTAGTAAGTTTAAACCTGAGGAGAAGCATGTGAAGAAAAACTGAAGTGTTTAGAAGATTTCTTATTAAAAAGTGCCTCAACACTGCTGAATAGGGAGAAGAACAGAAGAGTAACCCAGCATCTGGATTAAAGCACAGATCACATTGGTTTGTATTCTTAAATCCAAAGGTCTAAAGGCCCATAACAGCAGCTGTAAATGACTGATGATTTTCTCTCACATAAGGAAGCCGTTTCTTGCAGAGAACAGGCGTTCCTGGTAATTGCGCAGTGGGAGTCATTTAAGAGACAAAGTCACTCAGACACTCCTGAATTAAAGATGTGGAAAAATCCTTATTCAGCTTTCGGAATTTAAAGCAGGTTTATGTGGCTGCTCGCTGTCTCTTGAGCTCATTGATTTCCTCCATCTTCCTCCTGGAGAGCTGGGGGGTCAGTTTTTGCATCGCTCTTAGAGATGCAGGAAGAGACAAGCCCGCTCGGCTCATCACGAACACAGACCGGGGGGAGAAATGATTTGATGCGTTTGTCACCCTAGCAGGGAGATGCTGAGATTTTAATTGTATTGGAGAATGTTGATGAGGGAACGCATAGGGGGGAGAGCGAGCTCAAAGCAATGTCATTATCACAGGAGCCTCGCATACCAGGCTCTTATCCATAGCATGGAAATGTCAGCCTGGCTCAGTCTTTTGTAGCATAATAAGTGCAAGTACAATGACTGCAAAGCAAGTATGGTGGGGGAAGGGCAACCAGCCTGTCTCTCCTTTAAAAAGCAGCTTTTAAAAGGAGTCTTGATTAGAAAGTATAATGAGACAGAAAGAAAGCATAAAGATGATCTCTCCCTAGACTGACGGAAAACAAATTAATGTGGTGATTTGCTTTTAATAATTATTGTATATATATTTATATATTTTTTATTGTATCAGTAATGGCGCATCCCTGAGAAGTCATCTGCTGGGCCTTTGCAATTGCTTTGCAGTTATTGATTTTCTCCTAACACGTTTATAGAACACAGATTTTAATCTTCTCTGAACATAACACTCTATAATTTCATTAAAGCTGCAAGCCTTCCAGCCCTTAAAAAAAAAAGGATGACACTTTTCTCTTTGAAAGCTTCATAGAGCCTGAGTCCAGAGGGTTGTACTGTTTTGTCTGTTCTACCTAAAGAGATTTAAGTAATAGCCATGTGGTTAACCTGTACTGCATTTACAACATCATTGCCTTGATTGTTTCAGTGTTGTAAGTGGTTAAAGATTACGATTATTTCCAGTAATTGCTCTGCTGCTGTAGTCGGGCAAGTGGTGTGAATACATTACTGTCATGTTCCAAAATGTATTTCACTGAGACGGTGACAGTATATATGCTTGCTACGTGGGCTCATATATTCAAATATTCAAACACCACATCCCTCGCTGATGGTTTTATATTTGTATTTATAAATAAAAAATGCCCCTTTATTTCATTGCATAATTTACATAGGTACATTAATATTTAATGGGTATGAAAGGGAGTGAAAGTGGCATGGTCGTGATGAGGGATCAAAGCGGTGCAGTCAGAGCCGCTGCAAGTGCTTATGAGGGACTGGGATTTCTCACTCACTCGCACATACACTACTGACTGCTTTTGCACGGCTATTGTAGGCACTGCTGAGCCTGTGGCACAGCTGGACACAAAGCTGGACAGCATGAGTTAAAGGCAAACAGAAATAGCCATAAAGGCTGTTAATATGATCCTTATTATCTGCTCATCTGATCGTTGTTTTGCTGAAAAAGATATGTCTTTTTAATATACAGTGCTACGGAAGTCAGAGACTTCCCTTCATTTATTTAATGTCCAGTCAAAACGGCCATTAAGTACAAGTTCATTCATTTTTCAGGAGATTTTTGAGGAGGTTCAATATGAGATGATCCACTTGCATGAGGAAGAAGAAAGTCAAAAGAGTTTCCAAAATTGAAGTTCAGAAGTGAATAAAAGATTTAGAGAAAATGTGACTCTGAATGACCATATAAGATCTGGTAGACCAACAAACCTGTCCTCATCAGATAAACGGTACTTAAAGCTTTCATCTTTGAGAGAGAGGAGAAAATCGAGCTCCACTCTTGCTTCAGATCTGAAAAAATCCACAGGTGCTTCTGTCCATCCTTCCACTGTAAGAAGAAACTCAGCGCTATGAGTCTGAAAGGATGTGTAGCTGTCAAGAAGCCCTTACTGAGAAAAGAGAATAGACAAAAGAGAAGAAAATTTGAAAATCAATAAAAGAAGCTTCTGGTGTTCTCAGAACAACAGACTGACCTTAACATCACTGAATATGTTTGGGAGAACTTGGATCGTGCAAAGCAGAAAATTCAAGCAACCTCTAAGACTGAACTTTGGAGGTGTGGAAGAATATCTCTGCAGATTTCCTTGAAAACTGAAAGCAAGATAGAAGTTGTAACAAAATGAAATGGTGATCTAGAAAAATGTATTATATTTAGTTGGAGGGGCTTCTGTGTAATTTTCTGTTAAATAGAAGCTGTAGCTCAAGTGGGCCACAGAACACAGGATTATAGCAATTAGTTGCTAAAATTAATGTAGAATTTCACATAATACTGGATTAAAATAGCACTCATATAAAGATTTAAACCAACCGTCATAGGTGACCATTTCTAGACAATTAAGCACAGGATGACCCATGAAGTGCAGGTCAAATGGGCCTGCAAAGAGGTGCTTGCCCAGGTCAGTCAAACACTATAGGACAAATTCTATAGAGCCTCTTGTATTAAAGTACAACAAAACAAGGCTGAGAGTGAGAAAAGCACCCTTATTGCAGGGAGTAGTCTGATGCTATATATAACAACAATAATATTTATCCCTATGAGCCTTCAATGAAACACAATTTCCTAAATGGGGAAACATTTTCAAAATGTGAAAAAGAACAATATGCAGGATATAATCAGCACTATTTGTAATAAACTTCTCCTTAATAAGATCTAAATGGCTACACATCATAAGCTGAGCGCACGTAGCTGCTATACGTTCAGTACAAAAGCATTCCGAAGCTGTATGAACTGGTGAATAGACTGCACTGAACTAGATCTTCTACCTTTCTCTTACAGCAATTCTAAAGAGCGTCGCCTTCTACTTTGTCAGTCTACGAAGATGATTTCTTATGGCGTAGTTGTCCACCTAAAAAGCAACATTATGTATAATGTAGAGCACTGTAGTACAATAAACAATACAGAAGTGACACTCACCTACTAATGCACCTAAACTCTGACCAGCTTCAGTTAAGAAAATTCCTGGTCAGATCTCACTTCACCTCCTGTAACTATTCAAGTAAACATGCTAGCCTTCCACAGTTGGAATGTACTGTCACATGACCCAGCCTCTTTACAGACTTAAAGCTGTGAAAGGAAAGAGCACATGGCAAGTCCGAGCTGATGTGGAAAGATAAATGAGTGCAGTTTTCTTTTGGCATGCCAGCCCTCTTCTTCAGTGGTCTCCTCGGATAGGAGGCCATCTTAATCCCACTTTTTGTTTTTTGGCTGTGTTAATTGGGGCATGCTTAGAAGCATGGAGTGGGCAGGAGACAGGAGTGGGCCCCAGAACGGGAAACACATGCCAGAGTGCCTCTGTCTGACTGCACCTCTGTAAAGGAGAGAGGGAGGGAGGAGAAGAGAGGGACAGTGCAAATAAAGAGGACAGCAGAGCTATTGAGAGATATTGTAATGAAACCACAATGAGATGTTGGGTGACTATTGATTCACAGAATAGCAAAACCTACATGCTTGTCCATCAACAGTATCACTATAGCCAGGGGTTTGACTGGGATTCTTAATATTCTTAATTTAAAATTGTTCAATATGTGCAGTGTTATATGAGGTTCCCAGCCTGTCTTAATTAAGTCAATTTGTTTACTTGGCTGTTTTTAGTATGCCTTGTTTATCAGTTTTGGTATCAACGTTTTATCAATGTATCTTCTGATTCTTATCTGACAGAGATGAAAGTCACAATAAAGCCTTCAAACTAGCAAAATAAACTGTTGCAAACAGTGATACCACCCATCTGACATCAAGAACCTTTCCTGTCTTTATAACTGTATACTTGGAGCAGCTGCCTCCTGTTTTTTTGACAGACTGCTAGCAGAGACAATACAGTTCATCCAGAAAACGTTGGTTCACCATTGCAACACTGAAAACTTTAGCCTTCCTATATAAAATAACTAACCAATTTCCCTTTTTTCAATGAAGCTGATTAGTAATATTAATCTACAAACATGTTTACCTTTAAAGTAGCAGTACATAAGATTTTCTTTGTTAAAACTGAAAGAAGTAGCGTTACTGAGTCAGGAGAAAAAACACATTAAATACGGCGTGTGCGCTGCTGTGAGTTGACCTGTAAGGCCTGAATAGCCATTTAATAGTCAGAGATGTCAGGTCGGATTTCGTAGTTTCATCATATGTCTTTACATATTATCATCATCGACTCAATGCTTAGGTCTCAAAGGCAAAATCAACATTATACTTATGAAAGTATGATGACATTAGTAGATAATTCACTCATATCCTCAGAAGAAATGTCCTTCACGGAGTTTTGACCAAGTCCTCTTTGATTACTCGTGCCACTTGCTTGCAATCATCAGATTCATCCGCTTGTGGGGGTCCGAAGCTCAACTGACGAGACAAAATGCTCCTCCGCAATGTTGTGTGTAAATACACATTTCCACCAGAGAGGTCTCACTGCTTTAAGGGGCCCATATCCTACACTTTGACTGCATTTGATTTTTTCTGCTGACATCCACTTTTGTGTTGTTCTGTTTACCAAAAACAGACAAAATTAATTTTTACAAGATGGTTTCCAACCTCTCTTTATCTCTAAGAATTAAACTGGCTGTTTTTGTTACCATGCTGTTATATTCGGACTGAAACACAGCTTATAACATTAGCTAGTTAGTGTAGTTAGTGTGAATGGGCAGAGTAATACTGCTGTAGGCTGAATAGGTGAATATTTGTAAATATGATGTTTTTCTGACATCACAAAAACACTGAATTCAAAGCAGGGTTTTTTTCAGTTTAGTTTCTATATACGGACACTTCATTCACTGTGGAATGAAGAGTGTTTTTTTTTTATTTTTCTTAAGTTAGGAAAATTCAGTTTTCCATGATGTACTCTTTAAGTACATTTAGCATTAACAGTCAGTTGGCAAGTCAGAAGGCCAAGCATCATAGTAATTCAATCGAATTTAGTAAAAACCTAAATTCAGTACAAGCCAGGAGCTCAACTCAGGTGAGCTCTGGCCTAGTTTAACCCCCAACTGCAGCGCATCGAGGCCTTTGAAAGTCTTTAGTGGCTTCAGTACACGTGCGCAAACACCATTTTTTGCAACAAAGGACGAAAATGGTTCCAATTCCTGGTGTGCAGCAGCTGTAATAGCCTATCTGGTCTGCACATTTCCATGCCAACTGTCACTGAATGTCATGTCTTATTAATGTGCGCCTCTGTCCCTTTTAATTAGCAAGTTCAGGTCAGAGCTAACGCCTTCCTCCTTCAGGCAGCAGCGGAGAGCAGGGACGTGTGAATGAGACGCCTTTCGTGTTATTTGGTCAAAAATAGGCCATTACAGCCATAATCATAATGGTGACAGGCCTGGTGTAATGCATGTTCCACACAGACCATCCATCTTGAGGCGAACAGGCCAGCAGCCGAGAGCGCACAGGCAGAGGAGAGATAGAAGACAAAAGCTGAAGCCTGTCTGACGAAATAAAGCACCATGCTAGGCAGTGCAGTGTAATTAGAATGAAAGCTGGGGCCATCATTCTCCAGGAATCTTAGGCAACGACAGACGAGAGGCTCTTTTTACTCATATCAAGAAGCCCATTAATTATGTTAATCACCTCTATGCATGATAAGGAACATCCAATTTAAGAAAAACAATGTAAGTGCACAGTCCTAGGAAGATAGACAATTTGTTCATTTCTAAACCAATAATGCTTCTTAGCTGTGGTCTAGTTCATTATTCTCATAATGAAATTAATTACACCAATGTGACTTAAGAGAGATATGTGCCATAAGGGTAAAAACATGAAAAAACACTAGAGTATGCTGAGAAAATGACAATACCTAGATCAGCTAATGGTGGCAGGCATCATGTTCTCATACTTTTTTGGAAGTATCACTCCAGCCATCATTGTCCTATAGCTGTATGCTTGCTGGATTGCATGGCTTATAAAATGAAACTGCCAGCATATAGAAGCAGGCAGGAGCGTTTCTCCCATTGTCCTCATTGCAGTGCAGATGCAGCGTGCGGATCCTCCTCCAGTCCGCCCCTCTCCCAGCCAGGAACTATTGTATTCCTCTCCAATAAATTAGGCTTTGTTGCATATGCACGTCTCGTCTCACTTGTCCAGACCTAAGAGGCTGCGACAGTCTCCTGAGCCCTGGGAAACCGGAGGGGAGAAAAGGAATAAAAACGTCACTGAGGATTCCTCCATTCTTAGACATCTGTGGAGATGAGAGAGAGATAAATAGAGAGAGAGAGAGCAAGAGATGGGGGGGGGGTGAAGTAGGTTGGGTACATTTCTTAACTTCTAACAGCTGTTTATCAAAGGTCGTAAAGGTCTAAAAAGTTTTATAATATTGTAGCATCAGGAATCCCGAGGGTGTGTATATGTGTGTTTGAGGCAGTCTGAGTAAGAGTTTGACCTGACATTTATGTGTATGCTGATGATTCACTCCAAGCGCGGATAAGGCCGCATGCCACAGATACTATGACCCGATTACTCTTTCAAGTAACCGAGAAATCTCCATTGTCCTCAGCACAAAACTTTCCTCTTCTTGCTCTCAACCCTGCTGACCTCAGACAGTCATAAATATTCTCTGCTCATATATAGGTAGATCAGTGAGAACGAGTCTGGCACTACTAGAATTACTATAGAAACACTATAGAGTGTCCCTTGATGTTCTTCATCCAAACTTTTGTTCAACACTTGCGTCGACCAGAACAATTTTTGCCCTTTTTATAACTGGCTTATATTTAACATTTGATCCTGTTAACCAGCCGTGTAAGGTACAGCTCCAGCTTGCAGCTAAAAGGCAGGTCTGAACAGACTGAATATCTGTGTCATAGTGATATCAGTCTGTTTCAGCGAACCTGCTGACCCGCACACAGTCTTGTGGACTTTGGAGCAGAGGAGCGACTGGACTATAATGACAGGTAGTGGCTGCCTTCCATCACATCCTGCTCCCAAGGCCTCTGCAAATCAACAACGAACTCATATCAGCTACATTCGGCTAAGCAAGACAACAATGAACCAAAACAAAATAATTTAAAGGGGAATTCCACTAATTCCTCAAACTGTCTGCATGATGCAATTAGTAAGATGTAAAGAGTCATTGAGAGTGGTATAGAAACCTAATCATAGGAACCAGACACCTGAAATGTTTAACACTTCTAAAAGCTACCTCACAGAAAACAATTACAAGAAATGGTAATGAATATGTCTAAGACTTTGTTTTATGATAGTTTTGAGATAAGATATTGGCCTAAAATGTGTTTTTAAAATGCATGTAAAGGCAAAGGAAAACTAGTACCCCAAGAAAATAGTGGATTTGTCACTATTTTTGCTATTATCAACATTATGTAAATACAGAATGATTGTATGGGTCCACCTGTCATTTTGGATAGGAAATAAAAGGGCTATATTTACATTATAGATATAGAGAGTGATGCGACCTCTAGTTCCTATCACCACCACTGTACAGAAGTCTGACTACATTTCTCTCCAGTACACCATTTCACATCAACCACTCTGTCTGACTTTGTTTACATCTCAACAGAAATTCAGGAACAAATGGTGTAATTCCCCTTTGATGTTAAGCTTCTTTTGATATGTCTTCAAAATGTGATATTCACTTTATCTCTTGGCACAATGCCACGCTTAATTTACAGACTAAACGGAAGTGTATGGAGGGAATGGTCAAAGGTTGTTTTGACAGCATACAATGCTTTTTACAGAACTGTCACTGGAAGGGTTACCTTTGTATAATTTACATTATCATTTACACCAGGGGGTCCCAGTCCCAGGAAACCCACACTGCACCTTTTTGTTTTCCCCAGAACACACAATTTAACTCAACAGCTAATTAACAAGGTGCTGTGCTGGGTCAGGTGTGTTAGAGCATGATAAACACAAACATGTGCAGAGTATTGGGTCCCTAGGACTGACTTTGGGAACCTCTGGTCTGAACTGCCCAGAGGCAGAATCAACTCAGAAACGCCTCTTCACTCAATAACTTTTACGAGTCACAGCACACTCTAGTGGCCATAAGCTGATATTACATAACTAACAGCCAAGTGAGCAGTGATGCTGAGGAGTACACTCTTAAATAAGATGGTTTTTCATAGGTTCTTTAGTAAAGGTAATGGTTCTCTTTAGAACCATAAGTTATATATAGAACCATTTCATGCTTAAATTGTTCTTTGTATTGCGAAATGCAAAAGATTGATGAAAAATGTGCCGTATATGGTTATATTTAGAATCCTCTTGAAAATGGTTCTATACTACACTACAAAGGTTTCCTGTATTATAAGATTGGCATTGTAACAATAAAGAACCTTTTTGAAAATTGTTCTGCTACAGAACCATATATAAAATATTCTCTATCAATCTGAAGAACCATTTCATCATGCAAAGAACCCTTTATGCAAAGAATCTTTTAAGGTTAATCCTTTAAGTGTTCATGATTCTATATAGAACAACTGTCTTTACTAAAGAACCTTAAAGAACCATCTTTTTAAGAGTGTGGTTGTATATAGCACCAAAATGGTTCTTCTATTGTTACGATGTCAAGCTTGTAACAATAGAACCCTTTTTGGTGCTATATAAAACCATATAAAACATTCTCATTCACATTCTCCATTAGTCTGAAGAACCAGTTCACCATGCAAAGAACCATTTAAGCATTAAGTGGTTCTAAGTAGAACCATTCCCTTTACTAAAGAACCCTTGAATAAGAGTGTACTGCAATTTATTGTTGAAAGAATTGATCAGTCAGGGCCACAGTTCACCCTACAATTCACTTTTCTGGAACACTTCACTGAGTAATCACACTCAACTTAGAGCTGTACAAGACAGCAAATGAAGACACACCTTCTCAAGCAGTCCACTGCAGCTATGGACAACGTGGCATGAATAAGACGGTTTGCTTCATTCTTACTTACACATATGCTATTCTACATATTTTGGTGGAGGTAATAATGAAAAAACACACTGCCCTTCAGTAGTGAACACATGGAGTGCTAACCCTGATGTTCTACTGTTCACTACTATGCTTTCCTAATTTGCTAGCATTTAGCTGCTGTTTGGAACAAGGCTGCATGTCTGATACTTGTGCACAAGCCCTATTCCATCCCTATTGCACAATGTGAACTAATAAAAAAATTCCTATTAATAAGTGGTGCTGATCCAAAACATAGCTATAAACTCCTTGGTTACAACGTTAATTTCATCAATTATAAATAATAGCATACTCACAGAACCCCAAGACCTACAGCGATTCCATATTCAGCGGCTAGCTGGAGATGCACTGGAGCTGAAGTGGAACAGGTAGACTGACACTTCCAGGGTGCATCACTGACAGTGATGTATAAATGCCTCTAGGGGTAATTAATCTGGCCTCAATCTGCTGTCCTAATTCATACCGCTGTGTTTTATCATTCACAGGATTCACACATGGCAATTTACCAGCACTTCAGGTTCTGTATGACTCAGAAATAAACTGGAAATAGCAGACATGACTTATCCTGATAGACTGCTATAATGTAATTCCTGTTATTAGCTCACAAAAAATAAACATCATTAGTGCCGAATCCAAGTCTTGGCTTCAACCTCCACTTCTGAGAGTTTCACGTTTGCTGCATCTATAGTTCATCATATGGATCTATCATTGTACAAAATACCGCAAACCTATGCAAGAATGAGCAAAACTGAACACAACCATGTTTACTTGTACTAAGTGACTGGCTTTTATTCTATACACAAAGATCAAGCCATAATCAACATTTTACATAAATATATAAGTGAGCTCTGATTTGTGTAGCACTGGACAAAAAGTTAGTAAAGACATTCAATAGTTTTTTTTTTTCCAAAATATTAAACTTTAAAAGCTATGTGACCTGCAGTAAAGTATGGAATTCTTCAAAGAAATATTCACACAAAAAGCACACACACCCCCACACACATACACACAAACCCCTAGGGGGAAAAAAATCATACAGTATGAGTCACAGATCCAAAACACCTCAGAAAGAGATTTTTCTTTCATTCTTAAATGAATAAAAATTTCACTCTGAAAAGCTTGTGATTCAGCTACAATACTGAATGTGAACAATGGGTAGATGACATAGCGTTCATGATCATTACGACTTCTGCTTTGATTTGATTCATTTCTATGGCACCTCCTCATGTTTAGAGGAGCAAAACAAATAAGCATTGACTAATATTACAATTACAATAGTCAGATTCTGCAGAAAAACATGAGACAACATCAAGTATGTCCACAATCACGGATTTTCCAACAAAGAAAGGTTTCCAAATCAGAGCTGTTATTGATTTCTCTTTTGATCTGTATGCTTTATCCCCACTATTTAAATAAATACTTACAAACTTGAGATTTTACATTTGCACTGCTTATCTATCATTCTTAATTAATGGCTTTCAAAAAAAGAAGAATATTGGCTCATAATGGGATAGAATGACTGAATTGGCAAAAATCAGCATCTAGACAGGGAGATTTTCCAAATTTAGAAAGAACACTGAGTTAGAAGAAAAATAGCTTAACAACTCCCTCCTTATAGTTTGGAGGTCTTTAGAAAAATTAGACATCTAAAATTCTATTCAAAATTAGATGTATCATCCAAGAGTTTCAGGACGGTTTTGTACAAAACAACATTTGTAATTCATAATTTGTCCAAATTCTACATCATATCCCCATATCCTTAGTGCTGCCAGTGCACAGACCCCTACAAAGCCTTAGCACTGTTACCATTGTTTAAATGGACCTAACAGTCATACACCTTCAGACATTGTTTAGAATTGAATTTCTCTATGACGTCCCAATTGTCACAAAAACAAGCAAACAGTATTGTAGTTATAAAATGCACCATGTAGTCCATCATCTTTCATCCTCCTATAAACTAGGCGTAGATACCCTTGACAAACTCTGGATCAACCAAAGTCAAAACGGAAGAGGTGTTGATTGAGCATATTAACTAACCACACCAAAATCAATACCCCTTTAATTTTGCATAGCTAAAAACAACAGATGATCTCCTTGCAGTATGCACCCATCCACAGTGTCATTTAATCTCTAATGGGGCATAGCTGAAAACACAACAGCATCAGGAACCTCTGGGCTGCTGGACTTTAAGAAGTTTCGTCGATCTCTTCCGCCTCCACCAGGCATGTCTGGTCAGCGGAGGGTGCTCTGAAAGGAGGATGGTACTCGAAAGAGAGAAGCAGGGAAGAACCGGAGCTGTGCCTTTGCTGAAGGAACCAGACAACAGCAGAAACGCCCAGAATAACAATTACGCTCAGGATGACCAGCGCTGAGAGGACAGGACTGCCATCTGAGCAAAAGACACAACAACACATTGCCATTCACCAAACTGATCAAATTATTTGTATGCATATCTGTAGGTAGCAACTGTAGTAACAACAATCACATCACATTTATAATGTCCCCCCTTTGCTGCAGTAACAGCCTCTACTCTTCTGGGCAGCCTTTACACTAGATGTTGGAACACTGCTGTGAGGATTTGACTGCAATCAGCCACAGGAGTGTGGTCAGGTACTGATGCTGGATAATTAGCTCTGGATCACAAATGCCACTCCAGCTTATCTACAAGATATTTAAAGGTGCAGTATACGATTCTGGAGAACAACTGTTAATATTTGAACTCTACAGAAAAACAAATACACCCCTCCCTTCAGGGCACTTTCAGAAGCGCCAGCACCCAAATTCATGGACGCTCATTGCCAAGGCAAATGACACTGGGGTATCTTCGTGGCCATAAAACCCTTCACAAACGTTAATGGTCAGTTACAATCAGGCAGCTCAGGCACCAGAATGGAACTACTGCAACATTTAGGGCAGAACTGGAAAATGCGTACAGGAAGCCAGCTTCAGCCTTGTCAACTTTCAGAGGAAACGCCTCACCATGAACTCTAGGAAGTCTCTGCACCGTTGAAACACCTTTGCCTGATCTAGGAACTTCTTTCTCAGTCTTTGTTCTTCAGATTTTCTCCTCTTTGGCAGTTTCTCAGCCATCTCTCCTTCTTGATGATGCTTGGAGTTCAGCACGTAACTCCTCCCCTTCTCCCTGTCCTAAGCACCAGCACAAACGCTCCCTGTTGCTGATTGGCTGGAAGAGTGTTGTGTAGTTCAACCTGAGACACTGTTTATTTTCCATTTATAGAGCCAGGGCTATGTACAAACACCAGATTTTTTACAGTGCGCACACAGAACAGTGAGCCGGGGAGATATTTACTCAATTTGACAAAAGTGTATTGGATTGAAATCGTACACTGTGACTTTAATGGTGCTCCATCGCTCAATCCATAGGGCATTCATACCACTCTAAAAGGAGTGTCTAAATACCTTTGGGCATATAGTAAACTTTCCAAAGGAGAAAACAATATATTACAGTAGAAAACAAAATATACACATATAGACATTTTCAAAAGATTTACCTATGAACTGATAAAAAACCCAAAAAGTACTAAATAAATAAGCAGATAAATAAATAAATAAAATTTTACTTACTCATTTTTATCTTTTCTGCTTCTGCAAAACAAATGCAATAACCCATGGATCAGTATTTCTCCCAATAAAACATTATTATAAATACTGGTAGGACTGTGGGACACTTAGCTTTTCAAAATGTTTTAGTAAACGAGTATGCAGTTTGCAAAAGTGTAAGATTAAAATCTAAGGTTCATTCTGAGGGATAATTCCCCAGACAACCAAGGTCACCTTGACTCCCTTTGTAAGTGTCTTGAGAACATCACTAACTGGATGGGACGAAACTTTCTGCAGGGATGACAACATTTCTATGTAAGCAGGCCTTCAGCTCAGTTTAAAACACTGTTAGCTCTGCCGCTCTTCTCTCCTGTAACGGCACTTTACCATCCAAAAGGTCATTTTGAATTTAAAGTTTAAATTCTTCTTGTTTAAAAGTATGGTTTTAATCATGTTTTCAATTGCTCTTCTCCTCCTTAATCTCTTTGAAGTTTAATTTGATTTATCTTTGTATTTTCTCATTTGAAAAGCACCTTGATTGATTGCAGTGTACGAAAGGTGCTACAAAACAAACTTACCTTGCCTCGAAAAAAAAAAATAAACAGCAGCAATAACTGCTTCGTTTTTTACACATTTTCTTCATACAAAGAGTTTCACACTTTTTTTAGTTACTGTAACAAATGTGTGCATCTATAATATGCGTTAAATTATTGGAAACTGAAAAAAAATTATTAGAATGCTCATTTATTAGAAATGTTTTGAAAAGCTATGTGTCACTGCACTTTTTGATGGGCAATGTGATTATCTGTATTGATAGTCTTAAGCATATGTACTGTAAAAGTAGCTTACTCTGGGCTGTTTTACACACCACTCCATTCTCCGGCTGCTCAGAGCAGCTGACGTTCTCCCACTTCCTTGAGGCAACGTGCAGTGCGACACATGTGTCAATCAGGGGCATATCTTCTGCACCCCCCTCTTCCCAGTTCTTAAAGGTCAAAGGAGACTCATCATTCCATTTAAACTCATCATCTAGCAGAGACAGAGGGAGAGAGGGAGAGAGAGAGAGAAATACAATAGAATTACAGTGAGAAATTGATAGTGATAGTAACAAAAACTTCAAAAACAATCACTCTTAGATTCAGTTCTCTTGACAAGATTTTAAACTGTTTTGTTCTCAGTGCCATTTTAAGTTTTAATTTAATTGTTTATTTAATGCTTATTTTTATCTCTTTTAAATCTATTGTTTATAACTGTGCTTTAGTCACAGTTTTTAATTTCTATTCTCCTACATCTTAAATTTTAATTTGAATTATCTTTGTATTTTCTCATTTTTAAAACACTTTGAATGGCCGCAGTGTATGAAAGGTGCTACTGCCTTAAGTTCACATTGATGCAGGTCTACAAAAAGCTTTTTACAGATCAAACAGCCTTAATTAAATAAACACAGAATTTAATCAGTGAAATATACTGCATCTGAGTGTTACACTGTTGTCTAGGTGTGAGCATAAACTACCAATCAAAACTTTTGTATCACTTGCCAAGTTAATGTTTGTATATTTTTTGTGGTATAATTTTACATACTACTTGGCATTTTTAGTGGTTAATTCAATATTTCCCAGATTAATTCTATAAAGTACATTATAGTTATCTATTTAGATTAATTGTTTTGTCAAGTAATCTGCATTGATTTGATCTGATGAACTGTAGATTATCACTTTATTATAATTTCTCATTATTCAGCTGTCTCTGTCACTTCAGTCTCTTTAACAGCTCTGTTCATCGCTCTGGACACATAGAAAAATTCATATTTTCTAGTTTTTATTTACAGCATCCTAGTGTCATAGTATTTATTTAAAATCTCTTAAGTTGGACAATACTAGCATATTTGACTCACTTTATAAACTTGTGTGCATACTGAAAACATTGATTCAAAACTTTTGAATGGGAGTGTATTGTTCAATTGTTTTCTTTTGCCTATAGTTCTAGACAATTCACTAAAAAACCCACAGGATGTCCTGATGTTGTGAAGCAAGAGGAAGCAGTATTATTCCCCTTCACAGCTGGAGGTGTTTAATGAGGTCATGAATTCCCTTTCTTTCCATAGTGCTCTTTTATTGCTTAGTTCTATGAAATACAAAGCAAAGAGCCACTATTAAACATATGATCTCTAACTGCCTGGAGAGTAACTCTGACAGGTGTTGCCTCATAGGAGATTAAACACATTCTGCTGCATTCCAGCTGCGAGTGAAAGGAGAAAAGACTGGACGAAGTCCAAAACTCTACTTAAAGTCACACTTTTTACATTAATTTCAAGGGCAACAACACACATTTATTCTAGAAGATGATTCAAATGTCTCAAAAGCTCTCAGGAACCACAGCATTTATTTTTTCAATTCCATTATTTAGAAGTAATGGCGGCTCAAATAAAGTAACCACATCTTCAAAATACGATTTGTGCTTCTTTGGCTAGTGACTACTGGTTAATGTGTATGAATTTTAGGGCAGACAGGCACTTCTGATCACTTTCTGCCTGTGTGCACAAGATCCAGTGGTAAGATGCAACATACTATGTATGGGAAAAGTTCTTTTGTAGTTACGCAAGACAAAACAACAAAATCAGACATTACCATCACTGTCGTAGTACATTCCCAGCCAGACATCGATGTTGCCTTCCCACACTTTCAGGCTGTAGTCAGCGATGAAGTCATTCTCTTCAGCGCTGAGCACTGTCAGGAGGGCTAGTGGAGGAAAAGATCAAGAGCAGTGTTAGGACTTCACATTGAGAGGCCACTCAGGAACAATGTGCAGATATGAACACAAGTGACTTAAGAGCAGGAGACAGGTACCAAAGTCTCTACATATTTCTTTAGCCTTTTCCATGGTGTAGCGTTTGAAGACGTCCTCTTCTCCATGCAGGAAGTGGTAGCAGTTCTGGCCAAAGGGTACCCATGTGCGTCCATCAGCAGGGCAGTCTGTGGGAAGTTTTAGTTTTTGGTAATGCTAAACATTTTGCAGCAGTTCTTGTACGTGAGGTAGTAAACATTTTGGGGTTTTATGCTAGACTTAAGCTTGCTCTTCACTGTGCTTGACCCCTGTGGTTCAGAGCCAGCGTTAAACGTTGCGTACGTGCAGCAGCAGCCTATTCCAGATGATGGGCCATACCCAGTGCCATAACCTCGCTTCCTCTTTCATTTTATATATGTGGAAACTTCCAGCCACCATCTCGTGATCAAGCTAGACACAGAACACACGCTAGGCAGCCACCTATATTTAGTTATTAGGTTAAAGAAACGAAGAAATATGCAAACTAAAGGCTTGCTGTAATTTTTCGTTCGTCATGTCAGAGAAATTAATGACAAACAATGTCTAAAATGTAAAGTAGAGCCAGGCGTTCACGAAGCTGAAGTCAGCTTCTTATTCGCCAGCGTATTGTTCTAATTTTCTCGATCCACCTTTAATGGTGCAGCAGTTACATTCTGGCGACTCGCGCCTGAAGCGACAGAATGGAACTTCTGCACTATTTAAGGTGGACCGAGAAATTAGAACAAGAAGCTGCAGAATAACAAGGTGACTTCAGCCTCGTCAAGCGTTCACTACATGCGCACCATGTTTTTTAAAAACATATTTTCACACAATTAAACTACACTAACCTATTAGTTATGTAACCACTACTTTAGGGTTCGTGTTCAGCCATAACTTCTGAACGCTGCCATAACCGCCATAGTAAAAAGCAATAAACAACACTAGGAACCGCTTCTCCAGCGCTCCTTCAGCACAAAAGAGATTTTATCTGTAAATGTTAAGATGTTCCAACTTACCCCCATTAACCTGTCCGTGCGTGCATAAAAACGTTAACACAGCAAGGATTAGAGACGAAGTAAAGCGCCATTTCCCCGACTCCATGTTTTCAGTGCGGTCCAAAACGCGTTGTTGTTTTTCCCACCTGTAATCCAACAAATCCCACCTCCGCGCCACGATTGGCTAGTAGTGCTTCGTGCGCTGCACTTGGATTGGCTAACACCTCATACTCCTCCGCCACTAGCCAATCCTTGCGCAGGAGGCCCAACTCGCCCGAAAACGAGTGGGGAGAAAAGGAACGCGTCCAGAAAACTTGGCTACGAGCAGAAACTTTGAATATGTTCACACACGCTTGGCTGTCAGACCTGCACTTCTCAATCCTGCTCACTGACTCCAGTTTGCTCTGCACAGCTGAGTTAATCACTGCTCCCAAACACTCACTACGTGCAAACAAACATGCGTAGTACACGGAAACTCCAGGATTGGGAATTATTTGGACTATGGAATGGATCAATGTTTCAGTTGGAGAGTAGAAAGGACCAAATTTCTGTCATATTGTACAGGTCACTGGTTTGGGTTTGATTGTTACTGAATAATTGCCAACAACAACAACTATTATTATTATTATTATTATTATTATTATTATTATTATCAATAGTAGTTTAGTATTTCTCTGCTCTAACTCACCTGAGCTCATGAATACGTTTTTACTAACTTTATTAACATCTCATGCTTGAAACATCCTCTTTCATGGGACATGCATTATAGGTTGTGAAAAATGAATTATTTGTGTCCCACAACGTTCATTCAATCCTGAACATATTCACCCCTATGAAATATCAGGAATATTTTACAAGTCACAGCAGGAAGATGCATCATCCAAATGACCAAAAAATCACACACACACACACACACACACACACACACACACACACACATATATATGTTGTTTATTTGAATCTTCTATAAAAATATACAATGTATTTACAAACAAAGACACACATATTGCCAAGATAAATGATTTTGAACAATGTGCTATATATATTAAGTTTCATTTTTAAGGGCTATAATGGCTGAAATGCACAAAATTTGTGGAATCATCTACTTCAAGATAAATTGGATCAGATATTTTGCAACAGGGGAAACCATACATGGAGTGTTTAGGACATGAGTCAGAAAGCCATGGTATGGCGAGAACGGTAATGAGTAAAAACCTTGAGGCATACACTTATAGCTCAGGACAAACCTACTCATCTTTCTTTAAAAGGCCTCTAGATGGAGCCTTCTGTTTCTTAATGTGAGAGTAGATGGAGGATGTTTGAGTACTTGGTGACCTCTGTTGGATATGAGCCATATGATTAAAAAGGAGAGAGAGAGAAAAACATTCTTGCTTCATTTACAGGGGAAATCAAATCTAAGGCCATAGTTAGAGAGTCTCACTCATGCGAACATGACTAAGTATATCCGAAGCTGACTGTAGTCACTGAAGCAGTGTACTGTGTGGTGCCTGCTTACCGACTCTGCAGTCAAAGTAGCTTATTCTCCTCAACAAGAGAAGCTGTGACCACACGCTAAACAATGCCCCTCTTTAACTGTTCTCAGCATGTTTTAGTGTGTTTGAATTCTTGTGTAACAGCAGCCTTCGAGTGCAGTTGAGTGAGAAACCCATGAGAGAGAATGAGAGAGAGAGTGAGAGACTGCAGGCTGGAGGCGAGAAGAGGAGCTCAATGCACACCCTGTGGGGTGTGTGTCACACATGATCGAACTGTGGGGTGTGAGTGTACCCCACTGTTCCATACAAAAAGACTTTGCTGGCTTTTGCAAAAAAAAACTGCACCAAGTCTCGCCCAGCAACAAAAGCCTGTGTGACTTTTCTTCACTCCAGACATTCCAGCTTAGTGCCAAAGTGGTCGACAATTTTCACAGCTTAAAAAAAAAAAACAAAAAAACAAAAACAAAATGGGAGGGGGAGCGGGGAGGGCTTTAATGGCTTTAATATAAACCTCATTGAAATTTCAAACGAATCCTGTGTTTTCAAGCTAAGAAGAAGCATTACAAGTGTATCACTACTTACCATATTGGGTTGAGTAACATATTACATGGTGTAATTCAGGACATATGGAGTACTAAGCTAAAGGTGCTGTGGATAAGAGGGTGCTCTTGGTATCAGATGTACGGGATCTGACTGTTCCAGCATTTCTGACTCAGTCTTCAGTCACTCGCAGACAGAGCACACCAGCCAGGCACCCTTCTCTGTTTATTTATCAGCTGTTGTTGACTTTGAGAGGAACACAGCCTTCTTTATTTTGACGTTGTGTGAGTTGTGTGGCCTTTTATTCTCATGACGGTCCGACAGGCAAAACAACACAAATGAATCAGTAATGAGTAGACTGTGGATATGTGTGACTTTACAGTGTTGAACTGTAATAGACTGGTCAAATTAAACCACTCCAAGTTACTTCAAGCAAGATTTCTTCTCAGACGTTCCAAGGTTGTGGGAGATGAGTTTAAACGGCCACATTCTACATTTTTCTTCTGCTTTTTTTCCCATGAGGTCCACTTATAACATTTATGTGACTTTATGCACCAAAACCAGTATATATATGAGCTATATATTAGCTATGTTCTAACTTATTATAGTATTATAGTAGTATAGTATCATAGCAGTACAGAAAAAAAGACAGGCTGAAACACTTCTAATAACTTCAGCGTGAACGAGTGGAGCAAACTGCTGTAGGTTGAATCAGCAGATATATACAAGCATCTAGCCATGCAGTCTGCCTTTACAAACATTTGTGAAAGAAAGAGCTCGCTTAATTTTAGCATGGTACTGTAATAGGATGCTACCATCAGTTAGCATAATTTCTTTACTTCTGGATTTTCCACGATAAGCTGTGAGTGGTATTATTGAATAGTGGAAGCATTTAGGAACCACAGCAACACACAGTTACAGAGCGGGGTCGCTATGGGGTTGTTTTTCCGGGGTTGGTCTAGGCTCCTTAGTTCAAGTGAAAAGAAATCTTTATGCTTCGGCAGACCAAGACATTTGTAGGAACAGTTTGGGGAAGACCATTTTCTGTTCCAGCATGACTGAGCCCCAGTGCACAAAGCAAGGTCTATAAAGGCATGGTTGGGTTTGGTGTGGAAGAACTTGGCTGGCCCACACAGAGCACTGACCTCAACCCCACTGAACACCTTCGGGATAAACTAGGACGCAGATTCAGAGCCAGACCCTCTCGTCCAACATCAGTGCCTGACCTCACAAATGCTCTTCTGGATGAATAGACAAAAATTCCCCCAGACACACTCCAAAATCTTGTAGAAAGCTCAAAAGAGTAGAAGCTGTTATAGCTGCAAAGAGGGATCAACTCCATATTAATGCCTATGGATTTAGAATGGGATGTCATAAAAGCTCCTGTAGGCATAATGTGTAGGTGTCCCAGTACTTCTGTCTGTTCTGTTGTTTTAGTGGCATCACAAAACCAATAAATTCAAAATGAGCTTAGTTTCCATTTATGGACAGCGGAGTGAATGGTGCACTTTGAAACTTTAACAGTATTTACATGGTATGTCAAACTCTGTTATTTAAAAAAAAAAGTAAGGAACATCTGGTTTTCCAGCATATGGACTGTTTAGGAAGCAAGAAATTGGAATTAAAGGAAGAGCCTCAGTTTAGTGGCTGAAATATAGAAAAAAAAGAGAAGAAAACTGAAACAAATGGAGTAAAAAGACAAGAGGACCACAGGAAAATCCGTCAAAAATACTAAACTTGCAAAATGTGCTTGTTCTGCTTTTTTCTCCCCATATAAAACTGTCACCTCAGAACAACAAAAAAAAAATACGTACACTCTATCATGACCCCACTTCTCACTGTTAAACAGTTCATATTAACATTGTGTAATCATTGATATTGTTTAATTGTCAATACCATGTAAATTTGAAATGCTGGACTGTGAGTGTTCTACCTTTAACTTATAGAGCTTGTGGACTTTGCAGGGTTTGATAGTGGGCGCAGGTGGCTGACAGCAGACAGCTGCAGTCTGAGTCTCACTCCTCGTCTGGTCCTCTAGGCCTCCTGTAGGGTGGCGTAACGCCACTACACACACACTCACAAGCACACCCCAGTCCCTCATTGCTCCAGATCCTTCTTGGGCCCATCTGTTGATCACAGGCCTTGCCCCAGTGTTCATTAAGGATAAATCCCTATAAATCAATCACTTTTTAAAATCTTCCACTTTTTAAAGACTGTTCTCCTGTGAAGCAATATTTTACACCATAGTTTAGAAAAATGTCTACAGTGCGTAGAGTTACACAAAGGGTGGCAGTAGCCAGAGGGGGTAGTAATTAGTTACATTTACTCAAGTGCAATTTTAATGGCATTGTATTTTCCTGGGTATTTTCAAATTATTATACATTTACTTCTAATCAAGAATTTTTGCGAGGAAAGTAGTCCTCATTGAACTCATTTTAGTCATTAATATTTAGTTACTAATTCCTTTTTTGTCTTAAATCTCATATGTGTTGTGACTGTATCTGCACTGCTTGGCAAATGGCCACAGTGGTGACTTTTGAGGTTTATATTATTTTATTTTAATCCGAGAGTGCACCAAAAAACAAGAAAAGCACCAGAGAACACTGCTCTAATTTAAGACACACTGTGTGTATATCACAGCAACACCGACCCCTGGTGGTGTGAGTGAGAAGTAAGAAGAGTGAGAAGAAGAGACCTTCAGTTGTTCGGATTGCTTTCGCTTTTTACAGTGTAAATGAGCCGATTTTCTGAATATTGTGATTATGTTAAAACAAGATTTCCCTTTTTTAGCTTAATCTGTCAATCTGCACTGCTTCTTAAATTTTTGAAATTTACATTTTTTGGTATTGAAAAATGTAGGCATCTTTATTATTAATAGAACACAGGCAGCAGAAGTGTGTTTATTAGTGAGGCAGTCTTAGTGCCCAAACATCTTAAGTTCCATGAGGGTATGACATCTCATGGAACTTGAGGCTCATCAGTGAGCTACGGCAGTGAAAATATCTTTCCCCTTTATTAGCCAGAAAAAAGACGGAAAGTCTACACAACCCACTAAATTTGAGTTTTTATTCAAAAAATTCAAAGAAATGAACAAAAATAAAGCTTAAGGAACAATCTAATTAAAAAGTTTTTTGGCTTTGACAAAGACCACAAAAAAAAAAAAACCAAAAAAACAAAAAAGAAAAAGGAAAAAAACAAACAAACACAGAGGAAGGTTTCTCTTTAACCGGACAAGTTACCACAGGCAAGTTTGTGGCACATGTGAAACAAACAAAATAAAATAAACTCTCATATAGATATCTCTATGAAAAACTTTTATTTCTTCAAACAGTCTGTACAAAACTTCTCTGTTCATAAATTATTACTTTTTTTTCATAACTTAATGGCTGTCTAGTAAGTGATGTTTCATGTTCATGAGCGATTCTTTCTGTACGTCTCCCACTCTTTCATCCAGCTATACATTGGCACTTGGTTCAGGTGTTACTAGAAGCTTCGCCCACACATAACTCCTGCTCACGCATTCTTCAGTCTCTCTTTCTTTCTCTCTCTCTCACTCACACACACACACACACACACACACACACACACACACACACCTCAAACATTCTTCAAACTCTGCCCCATACGCACACACACACACGCACCAGAGCTGTGAGGCCTGTGCTGCTGAAAGTCTGGACTGGGACTGAACAGCGACAATGTCTCAGAAACAGATCCTAGAAATACCACAACTTTCAGTTTTGATATTTTTTTTCTTTATTTCTCTCCTTCTTTCTTTTTCTTTTCAATGGACTTTGTCGACTACTGGAACATCCTGTGATTAAGCAGCAGTGTTTTGCTTTTGAAACTATGAAACTGAATGTCTAGACAAGACTATCACGTTCAACGCACATCTATCCTCATAATAATAACAATGTCATTAAAAAATTTAGTTTTAAGAAAAAAAAAAATTAAAGTATTTAAAAACAACCTGAAAACAAAACATGTGTATATGCGGGCAGCTCCAGAGCTAGCCGTTTGGTCTGGAGGGGCGGGCTGAACCTGCTAGCCCGGCCAATCAAAACAGAGGAGAAAGCAACTCTGAGGTAGATAATTGGTCAATAGGACCACCAGTTCAGAAACACAGTCTTGTGGAAGACAACCTAATAAAGCCTAAATTAAAGCCTAATGTGATTTTAAAAGAAAATAAAAAAATGAACATTTTCATGCTGAACAATACCATAGCAGAGTATCACTGTGCTGCTCAGTTCATAGTTTCAAACTTCTCCTTTTGCGTGTTCTAGTTTCGTATTTCAGTTTCGTGTGCTCTGTAGTGATGCTTGTGGCACTTGTTGGATCCAAATCTTCCTTCATGCATGTGTCCAAACTTTGACAACAACTAAAGACAGCTGGATGCATATATACAAAAAAGGCACATTCTCGAAATTGCAGTCTAGTCCAGTAGAAAGTCTTAGAATTGTATCCTGCCCAAGGAGAAAATGACATTATATCCATTACCTTATTTCTTGTTTGCTAGCTCACTGTCTTTGGTGAAGTAAACTTTGATTGAAAGTGCCGAGTTCTGTTTGCTTCCTAGAAAAGAGCTAGACAAACTAAAATCTACAGAAAATCAATCTCTTCCAGAAACTTCCACAGAACGTTTGCTTAAAGTTGCCTCTGGAAGGCTTAATTAATCTGTACACAATCACAAAAGCACATCTGTCTGCATCAAAACTGAAAGAAATAATAATAAAAAAAGGACAATTATATTCTGTCTGGGAGACAGACCATAACCCCCTCCCTTCAAAACAATCAAAGGAAAAATAAAAAGACTTGGTCAAACCACTTCCCCCCACCCGCACGTACATGTTCAGCTAAACTACAACAGCGAATTTTTCTAAAAGGCAATTTAAAAATGTGTTCATTCAGCAGAATTTCTACCACATTCAAACAACCAGAGGCTTCGTCCCTCTGATTACAAAAACATTACACCTTATTTAAACTCCATCATCTTTTATCACTCATCACATGTTCTACTCTAAAAGCTCTAAGAGGATCAGTAAAAAGCAAAACACCTAAACTAGGCAAAGCGAATTTCATTAGCTAGATCCTAAGAAAAGCCCTATTCGGCTGATTTACAAGGCCGTCTCTTTCTCTGGTTCAGCCTCAGCTAGAGGCTACCTGTACAGCTGTATGGAAAGAATTTAAGGCAAATTTGATGTGAGAGACAGGGAGAGAGAGTGAGAGAGAGAGAGAAAGAGAGAGAAAGAGAGAGTAAGATCATTCTAGATCAATAGGACAAAACACACTGTACAAGAGGAAACGTAACACTTCACCATAGCAACACTCACACTGCAAGCACAAAAAAAAATAAAAAAAAACCAAACCCAAAAACACATCTTTCTCAGGATGTCCGGCCAATAAATCTCTACAAACAACAAAACCAGATCAGTACAAAGAAAAAAAAAAAAAACAAACAAACACAGACACACACACACAAATCTTAAATCATAAAAAAATATTAACAATGGACACCTCTGCTACCATGCACATCAAGTCACATGCTCCTTTGAGTTCTTGCAACCATGTGACGATTCCTTGGTAAAAATAAACGTTCTTTCTATTAAAATAAAACTTTTTTTTCCTTTTGTCATTTTCTTCTTCGATAGCTAGCATCCTTTGATGAAATTAATATTTTATTTGCACCTCATAGAACTTATACCAAAAATAGTCTGGATAGTTGTTTTAAAAACAGAGGAAACTCATCGTAGAACCTGTGCAAACGTCGATCGAATGGTCGAGCTTAATCCATCAGAGGAAGCATGATTGTTGAAGCAGAATCCCCTCACGGTCTCCTGAGCGCTGAGGGTCCTGGACAACACGACAACAGATAAGCTTCCATTACTTGTTAGGCGTAGCTCCAGTGCAAAACTAAAGGAGCAAGCTTTGGGCAATAAACATGTTTTGGCAGAGCAACCTTATTACTCTTATTTAGGGTAAGGGGAAAATTGTGTAATACGATTTGGCCAAACATCTGATTTCAAACAAAATGACACCTGACAGCTCGAATCATAAATCTTCATTCGCTTAATCATAATCCTAATTCACTCAGAATTCCTCTCAGAAAAACAGGCCCTTTCATTTAGACAGTCAGGGTTACTTGACTAGTAGAATCTGAGAGCTGGGGGTAGATCATCAAGAAATGCAACAGTAAATGCTTTTGTGGTGCAGGATGTGATATTTGATGTTTCATTGCAGCCAAAGCATTATTCGCTTGAACTGTAAGCCGTACCTCTTCATCACTTGGTTTGTTGGTAGGTGTAGGGAGAATGATCACCAGCTGACTCCACCTGGGGCTGAGGGCTGTTGTCCTGTGAATCAAAATAAATTGTAATTGTCTTTTGCAATGCATCACAAAAAAATTCTGTTAAAAAAATAAGACATATAACTGCACTAACCTCCACTGCAGCAGGCTGCATAGGAGTGTACTGAGGGATGTATGCGCCCTGCATCACTGCGTTAGCTGGCATGAACTGCGACAAACAAATAAAAGATGTAAAGAATGCATGCATGACTTGTACAACTACATTACACACCTTAAACAAACATTACTTCTGTCTCAACTTGGAACACCTTCCTTGACAGCAAGTTCACCTGCGGCATGTTGACGTTAATAACAATTGCATATCGTCACTGTCAGAACAAAAACCTTGCTTCATCTCTACACACTAATACACTATAAATACTATACTAAAGACTGTACTGCTAATGGTGGTGCACTATTTTTCACATACTATTCAGTAAGGTGGCATGTGATTTAAGACGCAGCCCTTCTATCTCCAAAATGGTAATGTTTCAGGTAAGGGAAAGATACCCAGTTTATACCAAGTAATTCTGGATTTCTTCTATTGGTCCATTGATCATGAAATTTTTACAGTTCACATTTTAACATAAAAAACAGATGGTATTATTAAATGTGTTCAAATACAGTGTGTAAAAAAATATGGAGTTACTAGGCTTTGATCTGACAGCAATGATCTGAATATTCACTAAATAACAATGTTCTTTGGGATTGCACAACTTTCTGTCTCTGTGAGTCTGTCTGTTTATCTCTATTTATATGGTTTAACTTATAAACTCTGTATATGTACTTTACACTTTATTCAGCATGTACACTACCATTTAAAAGTTTGCAATGTTTTCAATTAAATAAATCTCATCCCATCTTGCAGACAAATGTATAAAATTGTTTTAATATGATAGTCCTGTGCAACATCACAGTTCTATATAATGTGTAGGAAACAGAAAAAAATTGTTTTAGATGATTCCAGAATGAATAGAGCTGTAGATGATTTTGAATCCAGAATGTCTTTTCAATGATCAAATGATCAAGGCCAAAACTTGACAGAAGAGGAATCTAAATAAATAATTATAGTATTACATTTTGAAATGTCTTCTTGTTCCCCAAATATTTGAAATATTCAGTAAAACATCTAAAAATATCTTTTGGTATGCTATATATAGTAAAATATTATGAAATATGACAAAAAATGTAAACTTTTGAAAGGTACTGCAGTTGTTTCCTGCATTAATTACTTATTTATTTCATGCTAATTATTTCTTTTTATCTATTTAAACCCAAAAAAAGGTCCATGTCTAAAATCTAATGCCCAATCTAAATCTCTGGTCTTCTCTAGACTTGCTTGTGGAGTTGTAAACGAAACTGGAGGAGCTCCAAAAAATAAATAAAAATGACATTTATTTAAACAAAAGAAAGAATATCTTTCAAAGAAAGTAATAAACACAATAATAAGCAGATTTAGCCTCAATGTCAACCACAGGAGCTGAGCTGAATGGCCCTCTCATCACTTTTTTCTATTTTTTTTTTAACACACTAACAGCTGTGCTGCTTCACAGATCTGACATGATGACGCTGAGTACTTCAGTGAACATCACAGAATGTAAATGCAAAGTCTGTGAGACCGGAAACCAGAGATTTAGATTGGACAGCTGTCTCTGCCCTGGTAATGGCCTATCAGAGTGAGTGTACTGTCTCACATAAACATGTGACATATTTTGTATTTGCTTATATGTAAAAATGCACATGTTGATCTTTGTTTCAGTGTAAGTGTGCGTGTGTCCTCACCGCTCCTGTGCTGCCCAGAGAAAGGTGACTCATCTGCTGAGTGAGGGGGCTCATCATGGACGTTGGCTGCAGTGACATGGAGGGATCCATAGAGGGCGATATTACAGCTCCCTACAGAAGAGCCAAAGAGTAAGAGAGACATCACAGAACATTCACAGCATTCAGACTGGCCATATAGGATATAGGATGTGGGTCTTAGGCCAGAGTCTTGATAAAGCTGCTTTGAAATGATATACATACATATATATATATATATATATATATATATATATATATATATATATATATATATATATATATATAAATATATATATATATATATATATATATATATGTATATATATATATATATATAATTACCCTGTACTTTATGGAGCTAAACCTGAAAGGGGCCCATATCCTATATTTTGTCTTGTATTGAGGTCCACTTATGACATTTTTGTGAACCATGTAGCAAAAACAGTCATAATTCATTGTAACATGTAATTTTTTATCTTTATCGATTAGAATTAAACAGGCTGTTTTTGATACTGTCTCTTTGTTACTGGGGAGTGAACTGTAAGTTCTGAAACATAACGTTTACATACTACATCAATCTCTTATTTCAATTTTCTATGATATGGGCCTTTTAAGTTATATATACACAGGGTTCTGTGTGGAACGAAGAACCACCCAACACAGCATTGATCATTTTTACAAGTATTCTTACCGGATGTTGCATAATGTAGGGCTGGTGAGTGACCCAAGATGGATTCTGCACCTGAAATATTGAGTGCATGTACACACACACACACACACACACACACACACACACACACCACACACACACACACACACACAGAGGGAGAGAGTAAACATACACTGCCAAGGCAGTCACTATTTCTGTAGGTTTCGCACTCCTGGTGTTAGCAGTGCAAGAGTGAGATACTCTCAGTCGCACAGCAGTGTTAACAATCAAACAACTAAACACACAAGATAAACATCAGACGTGTATCAAAGACTATTATGTATTCAAATAAAAGGCAGTGTTCAGTTATTCTCAGACAATTACTCAGCATCACAGTTTTGGTATCAGTTTAATATTATGACCTGACTGATAATAGCTGCCATACGGTGATGCTTTAACTCACCTATGCTGTGGATGACTTCACATCCACTGTTCTGCACAGGATGTCTGTTGTACAACATGTAAATCTTTAAGTGTTTAGCAGAGAGAACAAAATACTTGTTTTCATGTCTGCTAAACCTATTTCAACCGTTTATCACTCACATTATACTTCATACATATTATCTATACTACATTAACAGTCCATCGTAGACTTACATTTAAATTAACACAACTAGCCCAAATGATCAGAATCTGCATAATCTCAAGCAGAAATAAAATTGCTGACTGCTTCCATCTTGCTGCATCCCATCCACTTCAAAAGGCTGGTAAAGTATTGTAATGTATGAAGTTACTCTTCACCAGACTGTTGCCTATAGTAACATTTTCAGTTTGTACTTTCACCTTAAGAAGAGAGTTAAGCTCTTCTTGGAAACTTCTTGGAAATATACTTGCTCCCATCTTAAAAAGATATCAGCGAAAGAGGTCATATACGTTTCTGACCAAAACCTGTAATCTTGTCTAGGACCTACTCCCCCAGCATAAGCTTTACAAGAAAATATGGATGGACAATATGATGATATTTTATTATCACTATGATAAATTATGTGACACAGTTTTCTCAGTATACTGAACGTAGCATCAGTGTTTTTAAAACACTAGCCAACTGCTCGCTCCATGAAAAAACAGAGATTTAAACAAACTGTAGAAAGTCTGCAAAGAATTCAATGTCAAACTGTCGAATTAAAACTGCATGGTATTAAGGAGATGATTGGATGTTACAAATTATCTTATCATTTGTCTTATTTTAAACACTTTCCCTTTTCCTCCCCTTCATTGTTATACTGAATGCAAATGTATGAACAATAAAGTTAAAGTTACTGAACTTTTTTAAAATTGGCTTAATATCATGTACTGTGCACTTTATCATGTAATATCATGTACTGTGTACTCTATTGCATTATTTAAGCGTTGCAATATTACACTTATGCCATATTAGCAATTCCTATCAGAGACACTCCACCAAAATCTGAAACATACATTATTATTGAAATCAGAGTAAGTCTGGGATCATACCCTGGCTGGAAAAAGAGAGTTTTCTTTTCCACTAAAGCAGGCGTTTGATCAAACACTGGATTGATACATACCGGATATGTGGACACTGGGGAGATGTATGGTGACATGGCTGTCTGGGCGATCATTCGGTTAGTAATGCTGTAAGGGGTGGGATAGAATCTGCAGAGAGTAACAGAGGGTCACAAAGAACAAGAGAACAGAGAGATACAAAGCAGTGACAGATCTTGAACAAGTCTGACTGAGTTACAATAATGTAGCCACAGAAAAAGGCAGATATAAAAACTCCTGAGTGCCCAGACAGAACAGACTCTGTGGTCACTGAATTACAGGTGAGAAATTTGGAAAAAACGACACAATTGGAAAAACAATTAAGTAAGCTTAAAGAGGGGCACACTGCACTTCTTGCTGCAAAATACTGTATCAACATGCCACTGCCTGAGAGGCAAACTCCTCACTATTAACACAATGATCCATACCTTAAATACGTTTTATACACCAAATATACCAAAGGCCAAATTTAGATATATCTCTGTGGTTTGCTGATTATTATTGTTACCAGTATTATTACCGTTGTTCTTACTGCTGTTTTTTTATGCTTTGGTAATGTTGTCCTTGATCCAGTCATGCCAATAAAGCTATCCTGAATTAATTGAACTGAGGCAGGCCTGTTGGCAGTGTGCATGTTTGTTTACTCACAGATGAAAAAGGTGAGAGGGTCTGTGTGCTGCTGTGTGCTGCACTTACCCATTCTGCATAGCTGCAGCAGTGGGGTCATATGTGAGCGTCATTCCAGCCTGAAAAAAAGAGAAAAAGAGAGAGAGAGAGAGAGAGAGAGAGAGAGAGAGAGAGAGAGGCTCATGAATATTTCGCCACCACTGTGATTCTTATTCCAGTGAGCGTTTACGGCCTTCTCCTTTACTCCCACACACTCTCCCTTTCTGCCGGTCTCTCTCACACACATACACACTCCCACATAGCCTTTTAGCTTCACTCATCCATCAGTATTCACTCACACAAACACAGCCTTAGAGAGAACCTCTGATGAGGTAACTACAGGGACTGTTTTTTATATAGTGTGAAAATGAAGTAAATCCAAGATAATTCAGTATACACATATACAATATCTATTAATGGAGTAAAAATATCACTCCTGATGACATACAGAACCACACACACATACACACACACACCCAGCACTCACAAGTCTGGCCTCTCCATCTCTGGCCCACGCTCGTCCGTTCGGCACGTATTTATTTTGGCTCTGTCGCTTTTTCTGCCCTCCATCAGCAAACTTACACAGCAGTGGCTCACTAGGGGCTACATGGAGAGAGAAGGAGAGAGAAGGAGAGAGGGGGGGGGGCAGGGGAGAGAGGGGGGGCAAGAGAGGGGGGGGGGCAAGAGAGAGGGGGGGTGCAAGAGAGAGGGATATTAGCATAGCACACATCATTCTGTCCAGTCTGTTCTCTACTACGTCTGTCACCTGGGGGATAGCCCGCCTCCACTCAAACTGTCCACTTTTTCCCACTACACTAAAAATATAGACATCTAACTGCTAGCCGCCTTCCCATAATCCCCCTTGCCCTCCTCCTTTTTCGGAAAGGCAGTATGGGCAGCGGAGACTATTTCAGGCTAATAATCCAATTACGAAGCTTAGAAAGAGAAAGAGAGAGAGAGAGAGAGAGAGAGAGAGAGAGAGAGAGAGAGAGAGAGGGGCAGCATCAGGGCCAAACACAGCAAAGACCCTTCACAAAAAACACGAGGTGGGGGGAGGGCACTTTCACTTCGAAAATCCTTTATTTAGGCATAATTTAGGGAAAAGGCCTGCTATTTAAAGGAAGTGAGAGAAAAAGAAAGTGAAAGAGAAAAAGAGCTAAGGAGGAGATAAAGACAGGGAAAGCAAGTGAGAGATAGAAGAGAAAAGAGAGACAGAGGAACAGACAGGAGAAAAAATAAAGAGTACGAATGAGAAAGAGAGTGCAAGTAAGAGAGAGAACAGGAGAGCGAGCAAGAGAGAACGAGAGAGAGAAACCCTGCACACTGATTTCAACATTAACCAGAAGCTGCCTTCAGTAATCAATAAGCACTTACTCCTGCATTAGGCCTATAGTACAGCAGTTCTTTTTGTTTATTCTCTGTGTTTGCTTCAATCTAAGCCAACATTCATTCGACGTGCTGTGCAGCTTTGAGGCTGATGTAGCTTGAAGCTTTGCGGGTGAAAGCAGGGAATCACTACTGGCAAATGAATAGGGAATGAATTTGCTCTTGCAGAAATCTGTAAAAGTGCTGCTTCTTAATGAACAGCCAAATACAATTAATAAGAAGAGCACACACACACACACACACACACACACACACACACACACACACACACACACACACACATACACACATACACAAAAATGATGACACATAAAAGACACACACAGTTCTTTCTTACCCATTACTCCGGCTGGCGTCTTGAGAAACTTTCCATTGAAGTGAGAAATAACAGCATCACATTTTTCTGTGGACTCCATTCTACAAAACAGAGGAAATCACCCTTTACTAAACACAAGCACAAAAGAAATGGACAATATTATGATGTTTTATTGTTATTGTGGTAAATTTTGTTATCAAGATAAAACAATATGCTTCAAAATATCAAATATCAGTTTGAAATATCTAAACATCTCTCCAATTCCAATTCTCAAGCAAATCTTCTGAAAACAACACGATTCCAATACCATCACACATCCCTAGTGATTTCTGTCGTTGCAGGTGCTAAGTGGAAAATGTGAAATGATAAACTACATAAGTAACATAAGTAAGTAGCACTGGAGGTGCTGGCTGCTTCAGCCAGTGAAAAAAACTGATCTACTGCGTGTTGTGTATCATTATATCACTGTAATTCAGGTTATTGTTAAAAGAATACTTTTGAAATGTTCTGAAACATTTAGGCTCCTCAGGCATTTTTAAATCAGGTGCAGCAAGTGGCACAGGGAGCAGCAAGGAGTGTGTGTGGGATTGAATTCGGTGCAGCCACACTGCCTCGGGGGCAGGTGAGGTGAGATAATATACTGCAGCTGTAGACTATCATTCAAGCTGATACTTGTTCTCACACACACAAACACACACACACACACACACACACACACACACACAGCTGAAGAGACTGAGTGAGAGCAGTATGTCAGAGATCAGCTATGAAACAGTGAGAAAGGAGTGTTCATTCAAATCTGAGTCATTCCCACCTCACCCCATTCCAGGGCTTAATAAGTAAATAGGAAACATTATAATGAAGTAGTAATGACACCAAAATAATGGCATTCCACAAGAGTGCACACATAAGACTTGTTTTTGGGTGGATCCACTTTGTGTCACTGGGAAACGTCTGAATGCGAAATTAAAACCATAGTCATGGCCACTGAGTCTCCAGCGTTATGGCCCAGGGTGACCCTCACCTGGCAAATCCAACTCCCCGGCTAGACCCGTTAGCGTCCCGGAGAATGCGTGTAGAGACCACCTGACCGAAGGGCTTCAGCATAGCCTCAAGCTCCTGCTCGTCCATGGAGAGTGGCAGATTAGATATGTACAGGTTAGTGGGGTCCTGCTCCTGTTGCTGTGCAGAGAGAAGAAAAACAGTGAGAGAGAAAGAACAGAAGTGAACCAAAGTGAAGTGACAGGTCTGTTGGTGTTATGTACTACATGGTCTCTTGATCCTGTAACTACACAGCACAGTTATTATGTGGGCATCAACAGAAATATCAGTAATGACTAATGCAGTGATAGAGAATTTCTGGAAGAATGATGAGAACCAGTAATCAACATCTTGTTGTGGCCAGCACTACAGAGCCACTGAAAGGACATTTTTTGTAACTGTAATTTTATCAGGATATTCTTTTGTGCATTATTTGCTCTTTAATATCCTAACATTTTAAATTTGTAAGTAAAAAAGCTGTCTTATTTAAATAGCATTAATCCAAAAAAGTGGCACATTAAAAGTAAGAAGCAACTGGCTATTTGGCACAATGAGTCATGCATAATGATGCCACAATATTTTGGAACTGGTGTAGCAGCAGCATTCAAATACAGCACAAAGGCACTTACATGCCTCACATTATTTAATGCCATAAAATTGCTACACACATCTGCCAAAATACAAACAATAAATTGATTTCCGATTGTGGTCGATCTCATGTGTCGATCTCATGGCCCAACTGGCACATTCAATGTGTGTACCCTTACATTTCACACCACAGTCCATATGCAGTGAGTGTAAGCCAGGTTAATACTCTAAAGATAGATCATTGATTAACTTTTATGTAGCCATGACCGCTAAAGCAGACATGACAATTAAACCTGACAAGCACAAATGAGGCATCATGTAACTGTCTGTAATTATCATCAATCAATACTAATATTGTACCAGTAATAATAACAACAACTATTCATTTTCCCCACTTTTCTGTGAATAATGTAGTTGTCAATATATTGTGCCCCCTATCTGCAATAGTCACAAAAAAGCATTAAAGCATTAAAAAGCAACACCTGCGTCCCAACAGCTGTAAAAACACCTGGAGTCTGGATCTTATCATCTAATCAACCGGTACGCATGCATGTGCGCGCACACACAGACACAGAGGTTTCCTTTCACAGGTCTCTGTTTGATCAGTTAACGGCTGCACGGCTGGACTGCACTCAGGACAGCAGCATTACCGAGTGATTCACCACTTCCTCTCTGTCTGTGGCACAGGGCTTATACTCCTAAAAGCTCCAGGTAAAGCCACAAAGGATCTGTCCAACTTCTCCAAGTAGGATCACTCCATTGTTGTTAAGCAAAAAAAATTATGGTTCTGACTGACAGCATAGAGTTCTCGATTTCACACAAGCTGCACAACATGATTGAGGATACTGGCAGTGAGCCACTTCTACCAAGGGCTGGAAACCCCCTCTGATACGCTTCACTCAGTACTGTTACAAAGTAATAAACAGTAAACCAATCTAAAAAAATTAGGGAGATGATTTAGGGAGATGATCTGGAAAAGAACAGATCAATGGGGAACTGTTTTCATACCCTCAGTAGCAAAGCTGTGGGACGTCCTGACAGCATGAATACAAATTGCTAACTCTCTGGTTGTGCGTTTTAGGACAGATCTATGAGTGTTTAAATGACTGCTTCTCTCTCCTGCACTAGGTGCTTTAGTTAATAAAGGGTCAGTCAGCATGAATACTGATGAGCTGCAATTTGCATGCAGGTCTTGGCCGCCTCCTCCAAACAGCGTCACATCAGCTTATTTCCTGAGTTACATCAGCATCAGCAGAAACAGAGAGAGAGAGTGAGTGGAGGAAAGAGAGAGAGACTCCCAGGAGAGAGGGGCCGCCTCATTAATATTCATTAACATCCTACTGCATTCAGCTCCTGCCAGAAAGAACAAAATAGGGAAGGGAAGAAAGAAAGGAAGACAGAAGGAGAGAAAGAAAGAAAGAAAGAAAGAAGGAGAGAATGAAGGAAGGAAAAAGAGAAAAAGAAAGAAAGAAAGAAAGAAAGAAGTGAGGGAGAAAGGATTGGATTACTAAAGTAATTCACTGACAGAAAAATCAACACTGCATTATTAGGGAACACTGAGTAACTCTTAGAGGCTGTACCCAGGGCAAGGGGCTCAATGAGGGAGCATAGAGAGACGTAGCGTGGGGGTAGAGATCCAGCAGTGCTGTCAGCCTCTGGTTATACAGTTACCACAACTCAATGCCAGGCACTGGGGGTGGAAATAAGCATTGATGCATTGCGATTCGTCTATGTGAAGATGCTGATTCAACTGCAGTGATTTTGAAATGCTACTGATTACAACAGATTACAATAATTTTTAATGAAGCATAAAAGTTTATTTTCTGATTTTATTGCCAAAATACCTTCACTTACCACATTATTATGTACACTTAGCTTGTATCTAGACTCACTGACCTATTTATCAGGTCCACTTACCATACAGTTCACCTGCGTTTCATAATTTGGCAGCCCACTCTACGTCATTCATCAATAGTTAGGACCTCCACAAGACCACCAATAGCTATTATGCATCATTCTTAGCACGGCAGTCACACTAACATGGCGGTGGCATGTTAATATGTGTTGAACTGGTATGAGTGAATCAGGGACAGCAGTGTCGCCAGAGTTTTTTTTTTTTAACACTAAACACCTATCGTCCACTTTATCAGACTCCAATGGTCCAGCTTGTAGATGTAAAGTTACAGATTGCAGCTCATCTGTTGCTGCACAGTTTGTGCTAGTCATCAGTGATCAGTTTCTGTATGGTCCACCACCCAAATGATACCAGCAGTGGTGGTGGTGATCCTGACCACCGGTGAACAGGATAACATAAATTATATAGACAAACAAAAGGAACAGTTTGTAACTGCATAAATAAAAAAATGCATCTATATGGCAAGTGGACGTGATACAATGGTCAATGAGTGTTGATACAGGGTAGATGAACCTAATAAAGTGTTTGTGATTTCTTTTTTAATAATCGACCAAGGTCATAGCAAAATCTGTGATTTCATAATGCACTGAATCATTTCTCAACAAATCATGAATGAACTGATTCAGTGTGAGGTCAGAGATCTACGCCCCTCTCAGACATTGTGCAAATTACATCCAATAGCCTGTTGAACGCCAACACTATAAGGTTTTACTGTACATCCATCAGAGGAAGGGAGGTAAACCGCTAGCGTTACTTAAATTGACTCATCTGGTTTGGAATCAAGGGCAGCTCAGTGACCTAATGCCCATGCCATATGATTTGATGCAGTAGGGAAGAGCGCTTGGTCAGCAGATTAGTGGGTTAAATGTGTGAGCGGAGATTAGCGGTGATGGCTGGAGGCTGAGTAGTTGCAGACACGCAATGCTAAATTACTGCTCTCAGCTCCAGCATTAACAGCTTCAGAGCTCTTTGGGTAGAGGGGGATTACAGAGAGCATGGATAGAGATGCAGTGGAAAAGGCCACGTTTCCTCAAAACCACATAAACACACCCACATGTGCAGCATCTCACACATATACGTATACATGAATGCAAATATATATATACATATATACATAAATCTGCATTCATATATGTCTGGTCAGTTCAAAGGAACCACAATGTGTGTATGTACACACACACACACACACACACACGCACACACACACACACACACGCACACGCACACGTACACGCACACGCACACACAGGTCAGTTCAGAGGAATTACAGAATTTTATGAGTGTACATTTATTAGGACGTGTATGCACCTGTAAGTATTTAAATGTATGTGAATATCTGTGCGTGTGAACAGGAGACTTTTGTACAGGACAGAATTTTGGCAGGGCTCGATAAGACATCTGTTTGTGCAGAGAAGCAGGTCACCAGCTAACCATCCAATCAGCCCAGGTCACATGACTGACTGTGTGTGTGTGTGTGTGTGTGTGTGTGTGTGTGTGTGTGTGTGTGTGTGTGTGTGTGTGTTACAGAGACAGACACACTGAGAATGAGAGCCAAAACAGGGTGTGTGTGCATGACAGTAAGAAACAGCAGACAGTAATCATGGGTAATGTCTATAAGTTAACTCTATCTCTCTGTTTATAGCATACAAGAGGTGAGGGAGACGTCCAAGGAAAACACACACAGACAGTCAAACAAAGCATGCGGCACTTGAACAGTACACACTCTACAAATGGGATCATCAAGCTGTGGCCCGCAGGCTATATCCGGCCTGTCAGGAAGTTTTCTCCAACCCCCAACCCATCCTTCAAACCTTTTTTTAAATTCTATGTAAATTATGTGGAATCCGGGGCTTATCTATAAATCTACCATCACTGCTCTGCATATGTATCTCCAAAATTCTAATGGGAGAAGGAAAAACATCAACTTTTAATGCAAGTTAATGTAAAGAGATTTAGAAGTCATTTAGAAGCATTCTGATTGATCTGTTTAGCATGACATTATAACACAATGTAAAAGGACAGCTGCTGTGTTCAAACGATGTTAAAAAAGGGACTTTTCTTGAACAGCGGCAAAACAGAAAAGTTTTCTTTCCCCATGAAAAAAAGCCAAACTCAGGTACGTTTTCTAGACAGCCAGGTACCTACATACTGTCTTAACTGTAGCTTTTAGCTCGTTATTCTCCTCATCTGACACTTCTGTCATTTGAGAAATCAATTCCATCTATTATAATGTTGATCTGAAAAGTTACTACAGTATATGGATGCAATAAGATAATAATGTTACCTATCTTGCAGTAATTCAGATACACAATAAAGGAACACACATCTGTTGCTTTAAACAGTTCTTGATAAGGAGGCTGGCACAGCATGAGAGAAAGAAAACATCCATGCATCATTCCCTTCACTCTTTTATTAGCAATTATGGTTTTCTCCACTCAGCCAAAAGCCCACTACACTCATGCAGCACTCTTTCTGTGCCGTGCAATCCTGCCACACAACTGCGCTTCAATCATGAATGTTTACTTTCTTACTATCACTGGCAGAAAATGTGTTTGTACAGTGAGGAAAGTTCTGAGATTCATTTGAAATTCCTGCCCTCCAATTAACACACCTTCTAACCAAACCTACAGCTTACTAACCACTTAAAATTACTGAATGGAACCTGACAAAAGAGCAAAAAGGGAAGAGGGAAAAGGAAAGAGTTCATTAAGTCCACACAGGTCGGGTCTGATTTGTCTGAACAAAGAAAATTAAAAAAGAAAAGAAAAAAGGCCTTTGGAGAAAAGTTAAAGGAAAAATCTTGACTTTCTAACGAGCTGTGCCCGGAACAAAAGCTGGACTTAAACTGGCCCGTGTCGCCCCAAACAGCACTGCTCTAATTGGAAAAGGAAAAGGTTCAGAGGGCACATCCAGTAGCTTGTCCATGCCTATAGAGCTCCACAGAGCCTTACACAGCTTTCATAGGGCCTGGTTGCCACGGCGTCAACAGACCTGTTACCATGACTACCTCCAATTATTTACTTCCTTTGCTTTAGTGGAGCAATGTAAAAGTGCTGGGAGTTTTGCTGCTGCAGCTCACTTTTACACACTACAGAGAAGAGTTCATCTACAGTGCGTTAAAGACAGACAGACAGACAGACGGACAGACAGGTTTGTTTTAATAAAATATCAGGATGTAGGGTCATGTATTATACAACATTTTGCAAAAGTCTGTCACCACAGCTAATTTATATTTATATTTAAAATATTTATCTGGGCAGTGTTTATTTACTCAGAAAAAAAAAGATTTTAGAATAAATACAAATAATATTCATACAATAAGTTGTGATTTTCTGTATGTAAATGTGTTCAACTAACCACTTAAAATGCACTTTTCTGAAAACATGAAATTCTTCTTACTTTTTACTGTATTTATGCTCATTTGTATTTATTCTAATGTCATACAGTGATTTACTGGCAGCAACATGCTTACTGCTGAGATAAATATTTGTATTCAATTTGCTTATGGGCCTAAGACTTTTACGCAGTACTGTATATGTACCTTTACATACTACTTACTTATTATTATATACTTACTTACTAACACTTATCCTAACCTCAGCAACAAAAAAAAAATTTTTTTTTGCCCTATTTGTCTAGTTTTAAAAAATTAAAACAATGAAACAGCTTTACAAAGTCAAGACCATGTTGTCGCTCCTGACATTGTTTAGGTCAGCCCTGTCAAGTTGAGGACATTTTTCTCCCGAAAATGTACAAAAATGCACACAGGCACAGGCACACTGTAAAACTCATGCTGTAACACAGAAACCCAGAATTAAAATGTGCCTAATTGTTGGAAGTGAAATTTTCCTACAGGAAAACCTGCACAGCTGCAAACCCCCTGCCTCTCGTAATCCCTCTTATTATATCTCTCTGTCCTGCTCTCTCACTCCCCTTTTCTCTCTCTCTCTCTGATCCCTTTTCATACTTAGGCCACAGCATATCTTTAGGAATGAACAGAGAGTTCTGAATAAGGAGGGTAGTGGTGAAGGCTGCTAAGAAGCCATCTGACTGACTGATTCTCTCTATTTCTCTCTCTGTCTCTATACCATTTTCTCTCAGATGTGGCTTTATTGTGCCACTTGCTGCCAACACCTAAGCATTTGGCGTAGTGTGTGTGTATGTGTGCTTGCGTGTATACGCGCATGTGTGTGTAAAATGAGTGCGATTATAGGATGTAAGTTTTATGTTAGTGCCTGTACTGGGTGTGCCTCAGACAGTCTGCGCTTTGTGGCAAGTGAAGAGCCTTGTCATAGGAACACAGAGGCTCCTGTGTGTTTACCACGTGTGTGCGTGCATGTGTTTGTCCGAGGAGAGACAGAGACAGAGACAGAGAGTGAGAGTGAGTGAGAGAGAGAGAGAGAGAGAGAGAGAAAGAGAGAGAGAGACCCCAGGGAGGATTCCCACTGGATAACGTCACCCTGCTGACAGTATCTTTCTTCTCTCTCCCCCAACACACACACACACTACACAGACTGTTCGTCATACATTAACATGGATGCCTAAAAAACTAAAATAGCCTCAACAATCAAGCAAGCGGACACTTATAAACAAGAGTACGTCCACTGACTATTACTGAATTAGCTCAATACTACAATACTATACATACAGCTAAATTAGAGCTGCATGATAAATTGTGTTTTTATTGTTATTGTGATGCAAGTTTCTGCTATAAACACATCAATAAAAGCTATGATGACAGACAGATCAAATTACCACAAATCGTTAAAAACCTAATGTGCGCTTCTCTGCGCTAGGATTGTACTCCTATGTGGAAGATGAGCAACTTAACCATTTGGCTAAACAGCCAATTAAAAAACGTGTGCACAGCTCAAATACTACAAGCCTGTAAAAACACATCAAACATTTGGGTAGTACTCACACTCAGTATTGTGTTTTAAGTGTATGAGGCAAAAATGGCTACTGTCACAACAAACATTTTTAATAACTAAACCAAACAAACAAATAAATAAATAAGCAAAAATATGTAGTAGTAGTTGTAGTTCTTCCATGCCAATTTAAAAAAATAAATATGTATTTAATTGGTTTTATAGCCCTTATAGAAAAAGCTGTTGAGGTAATGCTGACCACTCCTTAGCCTTTTTTATTATGTTGCACTATAGTGAATGGTATTTTTTGTAATTTTCTATTTTGCTATTTACTTAAAGGTGAGGTTAGCTTGATATGGGTCTGTATTTGCATCACAACCAGTCAGAAAAAGGCACACTATTTTAATAATAATTTATTGCTTCTCATATAGTCATCGCAATGTTCGATAAAGCTGTCGGGACATTGCATTTTATGTCAATATTTTATGGCTCTAACTCAAACTTAACCTGGAATGGTTTGTCAAAAAAGCCTAGTTTCTACAATTTTCCCCTTAGCACAGATATAGTCGATCACCCAAGACATGTTTGATGTCCAAATTTTGCATCTTTATTTTAGCACTGGAGCTACGAGGCTAATGTTGCTAACAAACGCTAAAGGTCAATAGTTACCCAAATCTTTACAGTAGATACATCCCCCAAACTTCTCTCAACTCGGTCAAACTGCATCCAGGTCTTCATTAAGGTCAGGTAAACTCAATGAAGTGGTTTAGGACACAGCATGATGTATTATAAACTGTAAACATGAAAAATACTTCACTGTGTAGGTAAATGCAGGAAACAGTCATTTAAGACAATGGTGTTGTGCTGAATTGTAACTCCTCTTTACATAATTGTACATCACTCATAGACACTACAGATTATATTTGTGGTTACGGTTTCTTTTAATACCTGTTAATATTTTTTTAATTTGAAGGTGTATGTATATAAATAGAGACAAAAGAAAATGTGAAGTTTTAGGGACATGTTTATGGAAAAGATGTGGGTGACTATTGACTTATAGTATTTGTTAACAATGTTAGGCTTGTTTTAACACTTAGATTATTAAAAAAAAATCTATTTTGAAAAAGTTTTATTGCTAGGACCAATGAAATGTCCGCACTTATAATTCTCACTATTGTCCACTACTGCTCTCTGGACATTACAAACTGGCATCCCAAATAAAACTGGTTAGATTGTTTAGTTTGGACAGTTTCAATTCAGCCAGTTCAAGAAATTAAATGATTCTTTTACAGAAAGAAATCAAATAAAAATGAATTAATCTTAAATTTTGTTAAAGCCCTGCTGACGCTACTGTGCTGAAATCCACACGTCCATCACAGAGCCTAGAGATACATCATCTGACAGCAGATGAGGAAGAGACAGTTCCAGGTAAAGAATGAGAGAGAGAGAGCGAGACAGAGAGAGTGAGAATATAACAGGTGTGCTCTTACCTTTGCCATCTGTGCCTGCACGCCGCTGGTTTTTAGAGCGTTGACGGCTTTCTGTGCAGCAGCAGGGCTGTCAAAGTCCACAAAGCCATAACCTGAGAACACATAACCCAATTTTTCACTTATCGTAACATGTAGCATTCCTATATAGATGAATTTGACAGCCCGTGGCCATCCTAAGTGTATGCAATTTCTACTTGTCAGGGTGGTGGGGCTGGAGTACATTCAAAAGATTTTTCTGAAGAAGAATTCTGAAACCTTTGTCATAAGGGTGCAAATACATTTCAGTTAAAGCTGTCTGTCTAGTTATTTACACCAATAACCACTGGCTCATTTCCAATCCAAATTATAGGAGGAGACAACCCAAACAGTTAAAAAAGTGATACTGTATCCAAATTCTCACTGTGTACTACATTGCTAGTGTTTGCAGTAACAGGTAACAGAGATGAGACTAGAACATAATTCACAGAAAAGTATATAAATATAATCTAGTAGTATAGTCTACTACACATAAAAATATCTATTTTCATTAATACAACCCAAACCTTTTTCACAAAATTCATGATTAGGAAACTGTAAATAGAAGACCTTTATTCATAACTTGCATATGTGCATTTTCTAAGCCACCACACAGACATCTCCTGTTTCTGTCCTTAATGCCCTTAAAACTAGCTATGTAACCTCAAGCTTTTCTCACTGAACATCACCTTGAACACTTCCAGTTTGGCTTCTGAACTTAGGATAATACCTAATCTACTCTTTTCAGAGTTGTAAATGACCTCCCGCTTGCCGACACATTGTTTTTAACATCCTCCTCTTCCATTACCATTTCTGAACTGTAAACCATGATATACTTCTTTCCTATCTCTCTTCTATTGGTACTGCAATCACAGCCCTAGACCGATTTCGATCACATCATACTACAGACAACCAATACCGAACAAATCACCCACTACTCCTGTTAGCCAAGGGGTGCTTCTGGGTTCAGTTCTTGGTCCACTTCTTCTCTCCCCCTAATCTTCTCTCCCCCTTAATTTTTTTCCCATATTGATTACTGTAATTCTCTTTTCATTTGTCTACTGACTAAAACCCTTAAACTTCAGTACATTCAAAAGCTACCAAAGTGATTACACACACTAACTGATTTGTGCATATCACTCCCATTCTTAGTAAACTGTTTTGGTTGCCAGTGTATTTAAATATTAGAAAGAAAGTTCTTCTCTCTATTCTAAGTCCTTTATGGTCTTGTCACTGTGTATCTCTCTGATCTCTTTAATTCCAGCATTCTGTACCCTGCTTGTTCTTCTGTGCACCAGACTTCATTTTAGTGAAATGACCCCCAAATTCTGTAATTCAACTTCTTGACCTGAAGACTTTTCTCTTTTGATGAACATTGAGAGAAAGGCACTATATAATCTGATAAAGTCACTATACACAAACACATTTATTTATTTTTATTAATACAAACTCTGGACACAGAGGGGTCTTTTGCATAGGACATGTATGACCACACTTGGCCTACACACAAATCTGTGGTGGTGTTTAAGTGTGTGCATGTGTGCTGAGGGTTAAACAGTGTGTAATAAGTACAACAGAGCTACTAAATTTAACCCTGTGTGAGTGGATTTGACAGATGTGTGTATGAAGGTGTGAAGGTAACCTGTGAGTGACTAGGCTGACTCCTACTCAAGCAATGCTTTCAATTGTTGTGTGTAAAGGCTGCACAGTCAATTTGTTTATCAAAAGAGTTGGGCAAGTTTATCAAATGACAGATGGCCAGATCCAATTCCAAAGACAGTTGCATTTAGTTAATCATGAAAAGCTGTAATTGAGGCATTTGATTTACAAGCACAACAAAAATTCTGCAGTTTTCTTACAAATCTAGGCAGTGCAATAACACCCACAGTACTGTGTAAAAGTCAGAGACCATCATTCATTTAATTAACAGTCAAAATAGCCATTAGGTATGTTCTTCATTTTTTTCAGGAGAGATTTCTGAGGTGACTGGATGTAAGTTAATCTACAAAAAAAAAAATACAAAAAAAACAATTAAGCTCCGCTCTTGCTTCAAATCTGAAAAAAAAACCAGACAACTCAATGCTATGGCTCTGAAAGGATGTGTAGCTGTCAAGAAGCCCTTACTGAGAAAATGAAAGACAAAAAGGGAGAAAATCTGCAAATTAAACAAAGCAGCTGCTAGTATTTTTAGAACAACAGACTCCAGAGAGTCCAGACCTCAATATCAATGAATGTGCTTTGAATTACATTGTGAGAAGGAGAAAATGCAACCAACTTCTAATAGCTTGGTGCTTTGGTGGGACTTTGGTGGAAAAATATCCCAAAAGATTTCTTTGAAAAACAAAGAAAAAAGAGAGCAAGTCATCCGAGAAGAATAGAAGCTATAATAAAGGCAAGAGCTGGACACACTAAATACAAAAAAGATTTAAAAAATCTAAATATAAAAAATTACATTATATTTTGTTGTTGAGGCCTCTGTGCAGTTGTCTGTTGAATATATTTTTTCATGCTTTTTTCCCCCCATAAGGCTGAACATTTTAAAAAATGCACTCTGGCTGTTTTGAGTGGAAATAAATAAACAGCGTGGTCTCTGACTTTTGCACAGTACTTTATATTCAAATCACTGGTGTTCACAATCCAGCGATGATCTCACTGTGACAGTGTTTAGGATGGCATGCAACACTGTTATGCACCACTGTGTGCGCATTTATGTAGAAGAATGTGCATCTAAGAGTAATAAGCACATGGGGAATGAAGAGTGCTTATTTAGGGGGCTGCTGTAAAGAGTAGCTTGTTTGCAATTTTTTTTCCACTGCTCAGGCTAATCAATCTAAAACTGAATCCATATGGCTGTGGGTACAATGCTGCATTTTTGACCTACTGCCCCATTGTGGGTTAACTTCTCGTCTTTGCAATTTCTGGATTAAGTATCATTTAATACATATTTATAATGTGTTGCAGAAGTGTAAAAATCTTCTAACTGGTTGCATCTTCCCATGGCAGAAATGTGCTTTTAGTGCTTGAGAATACAACTTTAAATGCTCAAGTACTTCTATTTCAACCAGGCGTCACTGCTCCTAATTAGGTTGCTTTATATTTACATTTCCGCATTTGGCAGACGTTCTTATTCAGACTGTCTTACAATTAAATCATGTTACAGAGCCAGGCCAAGTTAGAAGTCTTGCCCCAGTCTTTAAAGTGGGGGGACAGAAACCATTATGCTTTACCATATATATGGTGCATTACGCTGACATGAAGAACTATTCACACAGTGATGGAATAAAGACATTAAAAAACATGGAAGAAGCTCTTTTTACTGGATCTTTATGTTTACAATATAGACTTTTTGCCTCATACATTATTGATTACTATTAAAAAATTATTATAATCAATTCTAACATACTAAAATCTAGGCAGTTTATTTGCCGTCTTCAGATCAATACATCAATGCATTTTTACACCCCTAATCAGTCCTGATCTACAGTCGGTCTGGCCGCTCAGTCACTTCTGTCTGTGCCTGTGCTGCAGGGCCTTGTTGGTGCTGCTATTGCAGCTATATTTAACCAGCAAACACGTCCGACCACAAGTACAGCCAGCTCAACCACTCTCCCAGCATAACACCGTGAGCACTGACGCTAAACTATGACGTACAGGGCTCAAACAGACTACAGAGCACAAGTAGCAAAGAATTACAAAACTGCAATAAGAAGTGCTCTCAGGGCAACAATGCACCACAGAATACCAAATGTTTCCAGGGTAGAGGCATCACCCAAACTTTCACAGCACGCAGAAGCACTAGTGAAAAGGAAAGTGAAAGTAGAGGTGTCTGGTGCTTCAGTGGGTTTTAGAGCTCTGGGTGTGTCTTACTGTACATGTTGTATTTCACATGGCTACACAGACTATTGTGCAACTGCTTTTAAACTATGGAGAGTTACAGAGCTGATAACTGAGATGTAAGCACTTCGTTGGCAGCACTCCCTGAGCACACACAGTCAGTCAATCTCGAGATAGGATTACAGACCATGCACACCACACACATACACACCCTTGTCAGTCTTCTCCGACAGGCTGAGATTACTCAGCGTATAAATAATCCACAGCATTGTGACTGCGTGCTGAGGTCCAGGGCGGCCAGGTCTCTGAGGTGCCAGAGCCAGGAACAGAGCCAGAATCCAGGCTATGCCATTTTTTCTCTCTTTCCTTCTCTCTTTATCTCTCTCTCTTGCATCACCTCCACCCTGGAAGCACACCAAGGGCCTGACCTAGCCAGCATAGCCAGAGCAGAAATAACAGCAGGGAGTTCAGAGAGCTGATACAGAGGACACCTTCTCCTCCCTCCCTCCCTCCCTCCCTCCCTGCCCAAAGGCCTGGCTATCTGTTTCCTGATCCACCCAGACCCGCAAAGCAGCACAATGACACTCACACACAATAATACTCCTGGGCCGGCTGTAAACTTCAAATGGAAAAGCTTTCGAAGCAAAAAGCATGAAAGATGCAGGGGTATAAGTTAGTACGGTACAGCATGTAAAGGCTAATAAATAGAACTCATAAACTAGTCTTTAGTTCTGCGACCTCATCCTGCCTGTGACTGGTCTATAGCTATAAATGTAACACTGTTACATATACAAACTTCTGATCCTCATGTTTCCTTCTGTGAATCGATCCTCACATAGAAATACCATGGCCAGTCCATTGTTCTGAGAACCTTTTTTTTTCATTTCCTTTTCTCAGTAATGGCTTCTTGACAGTTACACATCCTTTCACATCCACATCATTAAGCTGTCTTCTCACAATAGAAGGACTGACAGAATCTGAAGATCTCAGGCAAGAGTGGAGCTTGATATTCTCCTCACCCTCAAAGATGAAAGCTTTAAGGACTGTTTATCTGATGGTAGACCACCAAAACTGTCACTAAGTTGTTAGGAGTCCCATTTTCTTTGCATCTTTTAATAATTCTTGAACTCAAACTTCTGTTTTTTTTCCATTTAATTTTCTTTTATTTTTACCCTTACTTATATCTCCTCAGAAATATCTCCTGAAAACAAACAATTACCTTGTACTTAATGGCCATTTTTTAAGTAAATGAAGGGTGGTCTCTGACGTTGGTTTTTAACCATGTATCTCTTGATAGCTTTGTGATGTCACTACCTGTCCCTATATAAGCTTGTTATTTTCATATTGGTGTTTTGTCCAACTAAAACTGCTTAATGGAGCATTATTATAATCCATGTGTGGACATTCACCTTTATTTTTTAAGAAACAACTGCAACAGAAAATATATATATATATATATATATATATATATATATATAATAAATAACCCTGATACAATAATCCTGAAATGTCCACAAGTTTTACTATGTAAAATCACTTTTTCCATCGTTTTGTGTGCACAAGAAGACCTTTACAAAATTTTGTTATCAGGATATTAGCCTTGGCATTGTTCTGTATGGGTTAGAGAAAAGAAACTCACACACACATACAGATATACAGATACAGCCCAATACACACTCACACATATACGTACAGCTGCCAAGAGGGCATGAGTCAGAGCAGGGAAGTGGAATTTGTATTGCTCATGGAAACAAGAGCTGGCAAAGAGTCCAGCACACAGCTCTGTTTGATCCAACTAAGAAAAGTCAAACATCAGAGACACACTGCTGTCACTGAAGCACTAACTTCTGAAATATGAACACTATAAATTAAATTTGAACACTATAAATGCCTACATATGCAGTATCCATTGTTTCTCATAGGTCTGAAATAAAGCATCAGGATGATGGGAGCATGGTGGTGGTATTCTAATATATACGGATCTCCAAACTCATCTTAGTATTCTGTTTCTTAATTGGGAATTAAAATAAGGCATGTACGGTTTGGAAAAGTTGAAACACAAGTAGCTGACGTTGCGTCCTATGTTATGTGAAGGGTGCCCTTGTTTATTTATAACAATATAACATTTTTTGAAAATTGGAAAAATTGGAAAACTGAACAAATTATGCTTAGATGGCTGCTAAAAAGAGGTCATATGGAAGTAGAGTAGTATCATTATTTTTCCAATTAACTGTGAGTATCAAAAACTATGTATGTTTGTATTCAACATTTTATATACTATGTCACACCAAGTCTAATTAAACAAGACTAATAATGCTTTCTGTTTAATCAAACATGCAGTTGTGAAGTTCGGATGATATTCACGATATGTTCAGAAAGACATACTGAAACATATTGTGATATACTTTATCACAACAGCAATAAATACTGTCATACTGCCCAGCCCTACTACCAAGTACTGCCTATGTGTGGGACACATCAGTGCCTTATACCTTTATAAAGGATCAGTATATTTGATGGCTTGAATCTGCTGTACTGAGCATTCTCAGCAGTCTCAAACAGGCCAATGTCAGAGGAAAAGGGTGGAAAAAAAACGTGTGGTGTTCGTTGAAAAGATGGCAAATGATACGCACCTTTGCACTTGTTTGTAGTCTTATCCAGGATAGCCTTCGTTGATACAATTTTGCCGTAACTGTGAAAAGAACAAAGAGAACAGTATTGGTGGATGGATTAAAACAGCAGACAGCTGGAGTCTGTCTTACAACACTCCCCCACCCACTTCTACACACACACACACACACAGAAATAACACAGCTTGCCCAAGACTTTATGACATCACCTCCCAAACATGAGAGACAGGAAGTTGTTTTTAGACTGAAACGTTCCCGAAAGCAGCACTTTCTTCTTAAAACACTACAAGAACACAATCTGTTCTGGAGACAGCGGCCTGACCTTCAGAAACAAAAGCAAGAATAACATTAAATGAAAATAAATTTAACTCCAGATATCTTTGTTCTGCTAATTCGAGAAAAAAATGACACACATTGTATTTCCTTTTGCCACATGCACTCTAAATAATCTAATCTAAAACTATATCTGCTAGCTAATGCTGCCTTTATGAGACCAGGGGCCTGTCTCACAAAGCACAATTTCTTGCTTAGGTTGCTAACTTTTAGATTAGCTCGATCTCACCCAGGATCCTCACCAGCTCCAGGGCACGTTAAGTTCAGAATTTAGAATTTCGGATCATAAACTACTCTTGAACCAATCAGGGTGAGCTTATAACCAATCAGGGACGATGGAGGTGGTCACTTTTCTTCTTTGTGATGTTTGTGGCATCAGTCACATGAACAATGTTAGTTTAAGCAGAGAAAGCAAATCATACTACATAGATAGACTCATACTACATAGATACAAGAATATAAAGCAATTATTACTGCAGTAAACTCCAGCACGACAACAGCGGTGGTCACACTGTTTATTACCATTAGAAATGCTTTACTTTCCACATATTCAAGCAAAAGTTCTCATCCTTTTAAAAATAAGCCAATCGGCTTCTCACTTTTCACACGATTGCCTGTTTGTCACAAAACCTTCCTTACATGTGCACATGCACAGGGATTAATCACTGCTTGAGTATCTAAATATGAATTAACAGAGGCAGTTGTTAACAGACTTTGTAAAACAAGTTGAAAAAAAACATTGCTTCATTAACAGGCTACTAGCGGTGCTCTGTAGGCGACCCAGCCCATCTTCAGTGACAGCAAAGAAGGGAAAAGTTCAGCAACCCCACTGCTGGGCTTTAGTTACATTTAGGGCATCATATGCTTTCAAAGAGGGGGTATAAGACAAATATTTATTATCGCCCACCGCTAATTCTTCAGTGATATAACGCTGAAGTCAGCTATTCACCAGCTTCTTGTTTGAATTTTCTTGTTCCACCTTAAATGGTGCAGCAGTTAGCTACATTTGGGCGCTTCAGGCGTCAATACTGCTGGACTATTTAAGGTGGAACAGGAAAGTTAGCTAGCTAGCTAGCTACCAAGACATTAGCATGCTATTAGCAATTTTTTATGCTTGTTATAAAGAAAACGACCATAATAAATTAAAACGAGATAATACAATGGTTATCGTGATTCTCATAACACTCCGTTTGGAGCGAGCCTCTGAAAAACCTCTGTTTGGAGGGCCATGTAGCCCTAACACTTCGCCCTACCCCTCTGTCTCAACAAAAATTGGGACACCCTAACCCTAGACGTGAACGCGCAAAACAGAGGGCTAAGGCTTAAGTGGTAGGGGCAAGGGGTGAAATGGGATTGGGTCTTAGTCAGGAACTCTGTCTAAGGTAAACTTGCTTCATGAGACAGGCCCTAGCAGAACAGCAAGGCACTCTTGAGTCAGCTCAAGGCCACAAACAGGATGCACACCAGAGCAATGTCACTAACGCTGAACAGCCTGACAAATGAACTTGACATTGAACCCAAAACACTGTGAGCCAATGGTGAGTGTTTTCCAGAATGAACCAGGTGGCCACACACAGAGCAAAAACAAAACATCGGCCAGAGAAACAAAACAATCAGGGTAAACACTCCCAGATGGAGGCCACCTTGGCCAAGGTGTATGAGCATCTGAACTTCCAAACTGACTGGTCTGCGTAAATAATGCCATTTTAGACTCATGACAAGAGACAAAGCAATTTAGTGAAGCACAAAAAGCTTATTTTTGCTTAAACACATCAAAGTGTTTGCCAATGCCGCATATATGGTAGTCTGAAAAGATGCACTGGCAGGTTCCATATGCACTGTGATGGTCACTGAAAGTCCTTTTGTGAGAACAGCCCAATTACACAGACAATTGGCTGTACCTAATTTCAGGGAAAGATAAATGTTTAGAAAAATTACTCATGTGAAGTGCTTTGATTTGTCCTTGTTTTGTTTCTTTTTTTTTTTTTGAAATACAGCTTCAGCTGAACATGGCATGTGCAATCTTGGCCAGAGGGAACAGAGCACAGCAGGGCGTATTGTGTAATCACAGAAAGGGTAGAGTTGAAAGAGAGATGGAACAGATCCTTGAGGAAGTCATATAGCGCACAGTAGGCTAGAGAAGGACACATCTGAAAAGAAATTTGACCTCTGACTTCTCTTGGAAAGCAGGGAACAGATTTTCTTTAAAAGAAGACTCTTGACCTCTTGTCCTATATGTAACAGAGCCTTACCCATCATACCCAGGCGAACGGGGGGAGGGAAAAACAGCATTAATCCCGTTCAATTAATATCCAAACACCAAAACCATTATGAGATTTGAAATCCAATTATGGAGGATGACCCTTAAAGCCCGCGCCAGTGCAGTCTCTCTCAGCTGCCGTGACCTTCTGCTTTTCTCTGCTGATTCCAGGCCAGGAGCATGAGGGGGTTTCCAAAGAGTTGCCCCAAATTAATCATTAAAGGAATCTCAATCTGAAACCACCAGTCCCCGAAAGCCCATCTCTTGCTCAGTTTAGAATGCCAGTGGAAAGTGGGAAGGGTTAGGAGGTAAGAAAGGCAAATGGATTACCCTGCTGCGTTTTAGGCCACTGCAGGTTGATTGAGGACACAGCACCATTATGAAAGGTTGATGAATGTCATTCATAAATCTCTCCAAAGGTCTGTGACAGGAGCACAGTGGTCCTTCCTGGCTCTTAAATGGGTTTTATAAGCTTCCTGCTCTGCTTTATAGGGGGACAGGGGGCCAGCAGAGAACAACTCTCCCTATTAGTCCCTCTCTCCATTAGCTTCCATTGAAAATCCATTAGAATCGGATTGCATAGGCTAGTGATAGAGATAAGGTGTCATCCCTGCCAGAGACGCAGCAAGGAGAACAATGCAACTGCCATCTCACCCGCTGTTCCTGCCCTGCCTTCATCCTATTACTCAGCCTATTTGTAGCTCCTCTCACTATTCACCATGCACTTATTGATTTCTATAGACACTGTTCAGGGTCATACTACTATCCGCTAAAGCACACACGGCACGGAGCTGTCCTCTGATCTGCAGCCAACAGCAAACTTTCTGTTCAGGGCCAGAGATTGTGTAATGTTCAACTAGACTGTGTAATGTTTCTTACAAATTAGTAACATCCAACCTGAGGAGGCACAGGAACAATCTCCAAAAAAGCCTACAGAAATTGAGAAAAGATTCAATAATACGTCAAAAAGCAGTTGCGTACGTCGGCACAAAACGCAAAAGCTTATCTCAGGCCTCTCTGATTGGCCACTGTTCCGAATCTCACGCTGCATTCATTCGAACTGTTCCTGCAAAACAAATGTCTTCAACTTATTTGACTTGCCTTCACTTAATTTAGCCAATAACGTGAGCTAATAAATACAACAAATAAAGGCCCAATGAACTCACAATTCAACCGTTTTCCTTAAAACATTTGAGAATATTCAGTGTTCAGTGTAGGCCTACTACGCCTGTAAATCCAGTAAACTGTCCTTTTTACCAGATACTTGCCCTTTTTATAAATGTAACATATTTTGCAATCTTTGTACTGTACTCCTGCATTGCTGCTGTGGTAAGCAAAAAGAAAAGGAAATTAAGTATGCAGAAAACAAACCTGTGTTAACTTAAAACTGACAAAAACAATGCCAAATCGACTTATAATGAACAAAATAAATGCTCATAATTGTCTTAAGAACTGGTGAATATGTTAAAGCTTTAAAAACTCAACTAAGTCACCAAATTTGTGTTTGACTCAGGACTCTTCACGATTCTATTTGACTCCAAAAGGTACAATATCTTTGTTTAATAATACTTTGGCCTCTTTTCTGACCTGGAAAAGTTGCACAGGGTGAGTTAAAAGGTTAAAGGGGAAAGCTCTTTAGCTATCAGGATGAGATTAAGCTAAATGCAGCTAATGGTTTGGAGATCACACCCCTGGCCCTCACCTTACATTAATCCACAACCTTAAACGGCTACTGCTAAGCACTGTAGTCACTCTGTTGTGGCATTCTATTTTGAGATGGTGATTAAAGTCTCCACCTTTGAAACAGGCTCCTTGTTTCATTTGAACTCAATACTGTGTCTAAAAGTATTGACTAATTCTTCAAATACACAAAAATTGCAGTGGTTTGTGAACCATAACAGAAACATTTGGCTATGTAATTAGACTCCAGCAAGAGAGACATTTGATTTTCTCAATGATGTGGAAATGATGTGGAAACCGAAATTGCTACAGTTTGTCTTCTTCGCTATAAAGAGCGACTCCCCTCCTTAGCAAACACTGCAGGGAAGCCATAGAGGAGGAAGAACGAGATTGAATGTGCAGCAATGTCAACATCTTATAGTCTTTCTGTGCGAGTGCGTGAGTATGTGTGTGTGGAGGGGGTGGTTGGTTGACAGGAGGTTTGGAAGACGAGGAAAATGAGATTTCAAAGTCACCTCGCTGGTCTTTTAGTCACCAGAGCCTCCACAATCAGAGATACAAAAATACAATGAGAAAAGGCTGTTCGAGGGCCTTCATTGTGGAAGACCTTTATGGAGTTGGTGGTCCTTTGACATAATGTACTGTCAGCCCTTTTGGATCAGTCTGCCTGCGCAGATAAAGATTTCGGAATTACATTGGTATTACATTGGTATTACATTGGTATCGGCAGATAACTGCTTAAAAAAATTGATTGGCATCTTACGGATTTAACCGATATTTCAAACTGATATTTGATGATGTATTTACGGTACTCTGTAAGAGCAAAATGCTATGGTGATACTAGGTTACTGTGCTAAACTTTAATCATTTTACTGCATTCATAACTGTACATAGATACGTTTTAGTTTCTCTTTAACGCTAATCCAAATGAATCTAGTCACGATTTCTACATTTTGTATCCGTTTACATACTGGCATAGTCATCTGCAGATATGTACATGAAAATATTGGATATTGGCATCGGCTTACAGCTCCCTTATATGCATATCCCTACATGCAGATGTAATTATTCCATTTCAGATGAAAACGCAATACTCCCATCAAATCCCATCTATCGGTTTCTTCTCTCTGCCATAGGCATGTCAATGGCCTATTAGTCTCTCTTAGCCCCCCTTCACAACTCCACTCTGACTCTTAGTTGAGTGGATTCTGTCCCGCCTCTTAAAACCATTTCAAACCACCCCACAGTCTGACAGTCATCATAACTGATCATTTATTCACCACATTACTCCTGGTTTAGAGCTCTAAAGGGGAGACGTGCGCTTACAGCCCAATAATACTGAAAATCTTCACTTGGTTACTGTAGGAAGCTGACTGTGATTATCAGTACTTTAATTTGAGTAACAATGCAGAGAACAGAAACCTATGGATACTACTCAATTTCTGCATGAATGCATCTCAAACCCTGTATGACGCAAAAGAGCACTGAACATTCTTACATGTTGTGAAAGACCATATTAATGTTATTTGTGGTCAGAGGTCATAGTGTCTGTCTAATCTTACGACTGGTTTCACATCTATAGGGAGCTTATCAAACAACCACTGTGCCACTGTGGCTCAACGGATTATAGCCATATACCAGACCCAGTGTGTGGTGATTGGAACCGTGCTGATACAGAGGATTGATGTTTGCGTATTTCAGACCATATTCCCCTCCTCGAGCCGTAATCGATCTCCATTTCGGAGCAGCACTTTCCTCTCAGAGTCCGACTGGGATTAATGAGTCACAGCCAGTAATTCAGATCTGCAGGAGGCCCTGCTCCCATCTCTTCATCTACTTCAGTAAACATGAAAGCCTTTTGAAGTATTACCACCTTCATTCAGAACTATCATTTTGGTCCAAGGCTGCCCACCCCTAAGTCTCTCCGTTACTGAGACTGAGGAGAAAAAAAAAATTAACGTGTCAATAGCGGATCAATAACGGCACTAATGAGAGGATGTGGAGTACTCACGGCTGGCAGAGCTTGACCAGGTCATGGTCGGTGGTTGCTGGGGGCAACCCCCGGATATACAGGTTGGTTTTGCTGAGCTGCTCCCAGCCTGCCGTGCTGCTGCTACTGCTGCTCTGATTGGTGCTGCTGTTGGTTCCGGGGCTGGGTGGGGCCATGGGCTGGGACGAGGGGCCAACAGGAGGCTGCCAAAAACGACAGAAAAACAAAACAGGGTCAGTGCGAAGAAACAGAATGGCACATTGATGTGAAAGGTAAACCTGGCCCTTAGATCTGGTGGAGAGAAAGAAAATGACAGACAAAAGGGAAGGTTTGCAAGCCTGTGTCATTTTGGACTCAAGCTGAGTCAAAGTGAATACAATGTGGCGAGTGTGGGAATGACAAATGGAATTATTGACAATTATTAGATAAACAAAAGCTGATTATGGACTGCAGGGAGGTAAAGCTATAGGCTAATCCTGCTGTCCACTGCTGCATTCATTATGTGGATTAAGGAGGAGAGATGGAACCTGGGTGTGAAAGCCTCCTTTGGAGTCTTATTGATCAAACTTACAGTAAAAGGGCTTGGCTATGGCCAGTTTCTGCCTGCATTTGCATCCTAATGAGTATGGGGGTGGGGTAGATACTAGATCAACAATTGTATTGAGATGCTTGAGGCACAGGCTCTGGAAGGCAGGCTGCAGTGATGCTTATGCAGATCCATTACTGCTGGAAACACACCTAGCCTGCATGAAGAAAGAACGTTTTAGCTTTGTCAGGTTGACTCCCTGTCATACACAGGACAATTTCCTAGTTAGTGTCTTAAAATCAAAATCAAGAACTCTCATCCCAACTATGTAAAAGCATACAGTGGAACAAAATAATGTTCCTTCAGGGCCTCGGTGCAATATACAACACAGGGCCAATGTTTATTAGGCCACACAAGTGACCAAGACATACACTGTGTTCAAAACGGTTCACTTGTTAACTCACTCACTATTTGCCACATAGGGTTTGCTATATAGTGAACTGACTGGAGAATGCCTATGATGTGACGAAGTTGGAATCCGAACAGCTCTATAACAGGGCTGGCTAGTATTTGTAGTACACAGTGCACTCTTTCTGTGTGCAACAGTGCAAAAGGCAGTGCTGTATGATACTAGGACTGTAACAATCGACTCAGTTCACGATTCAATCTGATTCACAAATGAAGAAAAACGATGACTAAATCTTTGTCCCACAACTAGCGAGACTAGAGAACAAAGACGGAAGGAGTGTGACTTATGACACTGAACGTGCTGGTGTGGTTTAAGTTGAGGCTGGGAGTGTGTCATATGACACTCAATATGCTGTGTGGGTTAAGAGGACTGTTTTTCTGATCTTTTGTGTCCAAACAATGCAACTGCACAATATGATACAATTAATATAAAGTGGCTAATATTAGCCACCTCTACAATGCACAGTCACATTTTTGCATCACAATATATTGGATCATCCCTTGCCTGGGAATAAATACAGTACAAAACTATGCAAGACAAGACAGCAAAACATGTATATGTATATGTGTGCAGCACTGATACTGGGAGGGGGAAAAATCTACTAGGAAGTCTAAAAGAAGCAAGCAGAAGTAGACTACTGTATTCATGTCTGCAAACAGACTGACTCCACAATGTCTACAAGCAAGTGAGGATGAATATCTCGCTTTACTGTGATCCATATCTCCTCTGAAGTCTCCTCTCCTCTCCTTTCAAAGCAGTAAAAAGCAGGTGCATTGGCCCTGCAGCTCTGACCTCAGAGCACACAGCTAAAGGAAAAATCTGGGGTTATGCATTCTGCTTGACTTCCTTACAAGACTATTCCGGTAAAGCTTAAGGCCTTACAGGGATATTAAAATGCTCGAAGACATTTTCACGATACACTAAGTCACATAAATACATAATATTTAGATTTTCATAGGTTTGATACTTTGGGGCAGCCAGAATGCACCAGCAATGCCAAATAATAAAAAAAAAACTATTAAAAAATAAACAATGATAAGTACAATGATGGTTGTTCGATGTTTCACTTACTGTGCTGCACTACAAGTCAATTAAGCAGGTCTAATTATTATGGATGCATGGTGATATTAGAATCAAATTGTTATCATCAGAAAAAAGCTTTAAAAAAAGCTTTAAAAAATGTTTCGGCTTCAAACAGATGACTAGATGTGGTCAATGTTTCAAACCAATATTTGATGATATATTGCATGCTAGAGGTCACCTTTTTAGTCTTTTAGTCTGCACATTCTTTATAATCTAAGACACAAAAATACAATGAGAAAAGGCTATTAGAGGGCCTTAACATTATCATATTGTTACTGGCAGATAACTGCTGCTTAAATTGCCATCTTGCAGATGTTTAGATTTCAATCCAATATTTAAGGATGTCTTTATTGTACACCGTCAGAGCAAAACACTTACTGTGCTAAAATGTTTGCATTTTATTCGTCGTACTGCATTTGTAACCATAATATATACAAATAAATGTTATGCTTCTCTGTAATGCTGATCCAGGTAGAGCCCAATTCCAACATTTTTACAAATGTTTATGTATTGACACTGGCATACGCACACACACACACACACACACACACACACACACACACACACACACACACACAGAAAGGAAACCACTTGCATGCCAAGGTCCTCACATGCAAACAAGTCAGAGAGACATGTCTGGGAATGAAAAGTAAGCAACAGGAAAAGAATGAACACCACATCAAACCCTGCAGGGTGTGTGTGTGTGCGTGTGCGTGTGTGTGTGTGTGTGTGTGTGTGCGCACAAAAAAAAAAAATATGCTTTACATATAAAACTGCCCAAACGCAGAGTACTAATAAAGCATATTTTTCTAGATTTGAAGAAATTCACAAAACATAAGACTTGGGATTTAACCCATGTACACATAAGAAAACTATTTAATCCAAACTTCCCAGCAATATATACTTGCTGTCAGAACAAAACTGTCCATCGCCATTATTAAAACATCAATTTTTTTTTAAGATATAAAAAAAACTTTAACTTGGGATGGAAGTTAACATAACCAGATGGTTTTACAAGCAATTTTGGACCATTTAAAGTTGGCTAATTCATCACACAAGTTTAAACATAACGCAAAGGGTATTTGTAAATGAGGATATCCCTCAATGTACTCCGAGTTTAAATAAAGGTTGATTGATTGATTTGAAGCTTTCAAATTATGCACAAAAGAAAAAACGGCACGACAGCGATGATTTGTGCCTCAGTATGCTAACTGTGATTCAACAGATAAAGACAGGGTTAAGCGCAATGTCTCTTAAAACACATTCCACATTCATAGGCCTTTCGCAGACTTCCACAGAAATGTGCAACGCTCACACTGAATGTAAACCCTTAATTGGAATCGTGTTCTCTATTCAAAAGACCACACATAGCAGAAAAAATCTTGAGGGATATTTGGACAGGCTTTGAGTGCGCCGGTTAGATGGCCCTATTCTTCACATTATAAAAGAGCTCTTGTGTGGCGGAGCCAATCACTTCCGTCCTGTTTGCATGGACACAGATGTTCAGAGCTGGGGGAGCTTTTCCTCTTCAAGTACTCCCTCTGTTACACTCTGATTACCCCTTTTTTCTGGCCTTCTCCGTATTTTCGGGCAGTCACAAGAAAAAAGGAAGCGTTTGGAATCCAAAGAATGAAGCAGTGACAGAGTTGAGCAATTGCAGGCTGGGCGGGCTCCAGAGGCTCTGATCGTCTTTCCAGCATTCGCACGTCTCCCCAGCTCTGCAACTCGACACTCCCTGGCTGAGATTTCAAGCCGGGAGAGTGTTTTAGGCCTGCATCCCGAACGTTCTCTTTCTTTTTTACCCCATGGACTGCTTCTCTAAGGTGTGCGCAGACTAGCAAACAAAGATGAAATTACCAACTTTTCAACGAAACGGGAACAGCCTACTTGGAAAGACAGTATACTGGCAGTACACTCTGATCTCGCTCTCATTATCCTTACCCATACATGCATTTAACCTTGTTTTCACCCAAACCTGGCAAGTGGCAGACTGGTCAGGAAAGCTAGCTCTTGTTTTCAATGGATGGAATTATCATGCCCCACAAAATCAGCTTCTGAGAATATAGTCGACTGCACCTCCGTGCTCATTACTGCTCATCCTGAAAGTATTTCTGAAGCGAAAGCTGAACAGGAAGCCTTAAAATTACTTTGTGAGAAGTGTGTGTGGTGGGGGTGCCCTGGCACCTGCTCTCTACTCCAGCCTGATAAAGAAAAGACTCAAAAGCTTCCTAATGTGGAGGAAAACTGGGCAAAAACAATGGTAAAGGAAATATCATCCCAAATGCATCTGAATTTAAAGCTAAATAACACAGCTCTAAAGAAGTAGCCCAGCCCAAACTAGTCATAGGTGGTACACTGGAACTCATCAGAAACACTCCCCTATGACAAAGCAAAGTGATGGTAGTGAACAAGAACCACCTTAACAATTAAGCTTTGAGGGCTGGGCTGTGTCTAAATGACTGACTATTCTTATTAGTCTCTGTTTCATCTCCAGTTTAAGTCTAAGAAAGGAAACAGGCCCTGAATTGATGCTTCAAAAGGCTTCCCTGGAACACACGATAGCACAATTTTTAATATCACAATATATCATCTGTACAGGTATATCAGCATTGCTGTCAATACTGATTTAATTTTAGCAGGACTGATCGATAACAAGTATTGCATTCATGATAACATGCTATTCTATAAAATAGCGTCCGTGTTGCCAAGCAGTTTATTTTTTATTTTTTTAATTCTATTCTGTGCACTTTACGCATCCAAGACCTGACAGTTAACCACAACGTATGTCATTTGCTTCAGATTGTGAGTTGAACATGCATGCAATAAGTAGTCAACAGAACAGTCCAATTTAAATTTAAATTTATATCTATATCAGATTTGTGAGACAATCTTTTAGCACAGAGTACCAGCACTCAGGAAGCATGAGCTTAGTTTTATTTATGTAATCTTAAATATCACCAAATACCATATAAACATGCTATATTCGAAAAAAGATATAGAATTTTCTCAGTACCTCCCAGCATTAATCACTAGTTGATACTACTACCTTATTTCTGCATGTATACTTAAATTTCAACTCTGTAATAATAATCAGACTTGTTCGCCACTCAGGAACGCCTTGTTTATGCCTCTGTCCCAAATGTTTGGGTGCCAGACATAAATCTTTGGCTGGAAGCTAAAATCTACAGGAATTTCCTTTCAGAATCCAACCATTTCCTTTCTCTGCAAAGGCTGTCTAAAAGAGGCAGGAGAGCTGAGAGAGGCCTCATTAGAGAACATGACATAACTCAGGTATGGTCACTGTGCCTCATTAAATTACTTGCATTTAAATCTACTCTAGCTGGTTTTGTGACTGGAGACTTTGACTTTTCCACTGATAGTCAAAGACAGTTGTCCAAATCTGGTTAATTGTGTCTTTTTCTTCCTCGAATGTTGATTGCTTGCTCAAGATATAGGCTCTGTAAGTTTTTCATGGAATGAAAAATAATTTAAAGATATCAGATAACATTTTAAAAAATAAATAATTTGAAATTTTATATCATACTCCAGCTGTGAGTTGTATTTTCAATCCAGCATGCACTTAATAGCTGCATCAAAGCCAAAGCCCTGCTGCACGAAGCTGAGATTGCAGGGTGCTGAAAAACAGGCCTCAACTCAGTGAAATCCAGTAATGCTGAACAAAATATCATTCCATTAAAGGTCTCAACACAAAGGGGGCATTTATGGCAGGGACAGGCTCAAGCTCATTCAAATGGTCTGGCAACCCAATGGCACTTTATAGTATAGTTCAAAAGAGCTGCACAGAGGCTACGAGGTTGTGACACAGCAAATAGGACAGACTCATGAGTCCAACAAGTGATAAAACACAAAGACAAGACTTTCAAAGTCAACAGTAAGGATGTTAAGACCAGATTTAGGTAGAAGAGCCCAAACCCAAAATCAAGTAAAACGACTCTGGAATAACGAAAGTAAAAGCTAATGTACCATTTCAAGATAATGACGATGGATCATGACATCTAAAACACAAATATAGCCACGTTATTTACTTTTCAAAATAACCAGTGAAGCTACATGTGTACGCTATGTTTTAAATGTGATGTCGATAAAGGTAAACAGCGGTAAATAAAAAGTTTTCTTTGGGTGGTCTTTTGCATTTTTATATGTACCTCTCTGACATGCAGGCATTATATGAACAACAATAACCTTATGTCAATATCTTATATTAAAATACCTTATGTCAAATAAGGTATATCAACACTATCATAAAACAATGTCTAAGGCATCAGGCAATGTAATCGTAACCATTTCATGTAACAACGTTCTGTGATTTAGCTTTTAAAGACATTCATCACTTCAGACATCTGGTTCCTATCACCGCCACTGTGAACGAGTCTGTAATTTTCTTTTAGAATGCCACATTTTACATCAAACCACTCTGAACGCCTCTGTCTACATCTTAACATTTTAATTATGCACATTTACAAAATCTGTAGAATTCCTCCACAATGTTAAAACCCTCACGCATTTTCTGCCAAGCACAGGTATTCATGCCTAGTAAATCATAGTGTGAACTGTAAACATATATTTTTCTCACTTTGTTGCAGTCCAAGAGGATACACTCCTTGTCACATTTTCAATTGACTGACAGTAAACATTTTTAATGATGTACTACTCTGACAGTCAGACCCATCCAAGAAGACTGAACAACATTCTCACGAGACTGGAATGAAATTATACTTTTCCGCCTTTGCAACGACTCCCTCCTCACAGAGGAACGGCGAGTTCATTTTTCATTTAGCATCTGTTAAGACTGCTTCTGGGACAGACCTCTTAAAAACAAAATTGATTATCTGATCGTTCCACCGGAGGACAGACTCTCTACCAGGAAGTATTCCACTGGTCGGGGCAACATGAGGACAAAGAGCATCTTTGAGGAGAGAGTGAGCATTCCCCCTGTCCACTTTTACAGTCCTCTGTCTTTCAGTCTTATGGCCTAAAAGACAGACCTGCCTTTTCTGACCATCTCAAAGCCTGTTTGTTCCTTTCTGCAGTGTGTTCAGCTCCAAAAAGGAGAGAGAGAACCAGTGAGTGAGAGAGGCAGAGAGAGAGAGAGAGAGAGAGAAAGGAGGGGAGAGACCAGACTCTTATCGGCCTGCCCCAGACTCAGATAGCTCGTCATATCCGTGCTGGAAATACTCTGGCCTAGCAGTAACAGGCCTCGCCCTGAAAGCTCCTCACCTCTCCCTGCTCCGTTCACACACCCTGTCACTGCTAAACCTGCCTATGAATATGCATAATCCTCTTGAGTGTCTCTCTCTGTCTCGCTCTCTCTATCAACCAATTAATCTGCTGATGTGCTGATAAATCAGAATTCATAATTGAGAAGGGCACCGAAAGCACATTATCCACATTTTATCATCATTCAAACTAATGCAGTTGCATCTTCAGAGGCATTGCCATCTTATTCTACCAGAATTGAAAGATGAGGCAAGGTCATTCATTCCCAGTGCTCACCTGCCCTCAACCTTACCTGGACGAGAACTCTGGCCAGGGTGCATGCATCTATCAAATGCAGCTCACATCTGTGACTTGTGCTTAAAACAAGGTACATTACCGAGAAAGCTTTATCATTCTATTCCAACTCGTTTAAAAAGTAAACTGTTGGTGCCAACTGCAAAAGCAGATATTCTGAATGTCACACAGAAGAAAAGTGACATTTTGATGATATGTTATCAGTTAGAAGAGTAAAATTAAAAAAGGGCAAATGTAAAACGAAGCTATATAATAAAAAAAATAATAATTTCTGAATGAAACGCTGTATAAGAAAACAGTGTTTACATCATCACACAAAGCGGAAATGTCTCTACTCCCAACGAACCACAACACTCTCCACAACCAGAAGGAAATATCTTCAATATGAAAGGCACACAATAGTTTAAGCTACTGTAAAACACGCCATAATTCCTCTAACGCCTGCCTGGGACCTTAAACGAAAGTACAGGCTTAAGATACATGACACTTCACCAAATGGGATGTCTGTCTGTGGCATATGTGCAAACACACAGCCCCAGCTGCTGCTGCTTATGCTTACGTTCACGATATTTCTTACAGCATAACCTCATAATACTCACCTCGCGGGTTACTCGGCGTTTTTTTTTCAGAAGCCACTTTCTACCACTTACTATATATTAGGTTTATAGCTATATACAAACCTACACAACAGCTAAAGCTATATAAATAAGATATTTTTTACCTGTTTACGATACGTAGTTCTCAGCGGGTTGCCAGAATTCGCAAAAATCATCCTCGAATTGGAAGTATCGACTTTCCCGATGTGAAGCTGATTCCCTGTCAGTTGTTGTTCGTCGCTTGTTTGTTGTAAGCGCTAGAGTCCAAGAGATAAAGGGCTGGTAAAGTTGTACATTTGATTTTACAAAACATAGAGACCTGTCGACGCTGTTACTGAAGCTCACTTTTACACTTATTCACTCCGCTGAAGTGTAGGAAAAAGCGCTGTGCGCTGGCGTGCAGTGAGCAGATCTCCTACGGCTGAGCTCAACTTGGCTGTATTGCCCAACCCGTTTGTTTAGCGGCGTTCATTGATCTGCGCCGAGTTCCTCACACAACAGCCCCTCCCACTACGGACCGAACCATCGCGCTCTCTGCCATAGGGATGACCTGGAACTACGGCATACATCTCAATCCAAAATATTACGATTTGTGTGGATGTGTTTTTGAAAATCATAATTAACAAAATGCTCTCAATAACTATTTGTGCCAAATGTATTAAATTGTGACATTATTGCATATAAGCTATAAAATGCTCCACCACTCCCCCCCTCTGAGTACCCCTTCTTTCTCCAAGCGTGCATATTTCACATTCCTCTGCGCGGCCATCAACTACTCTGTGGTTTAGAAATCGCTGTGTGTTGTGTGTTTTTTTTAGGACTGAATTAACACAAGTTTAGTGTAATAAGAGCAAATCTAATGTAACTAAACTTCATATATCTATTGGGGAAATCCGTTTTCTGTTTTCCAGAACAATTGTAGCTAAGCAGCTACTCTGCATTGTGAGCTCCGTTCTATCAGGAGACATTGCTGGAAAAGCTTCATTTTTTCTATTCTGACTTCATTAAAAGTACATTTGAATCCAAACCAAAGCAGATCTTTTGAATATCATATGGAAGATGTAGAGACGAATAACAAGTTTATCTTAAATATAGGTTAAACTTAAATATGATTAAATAAGCATATAAATTTAGGTTGTGCATAAAATGCAGTTTGGTAAGAAAATATTTTAACTTCTAATGATGATAATAAAGTCCAACAATCTTGACAACCAAAGAGAAATGTCTTAAATATTAAAGGCACACAGCAGGTTAAGCTACTGTAAAATATGCCATAATTCCTGTAACGCCTGGCTGGGCTTCATCTTAGGATAAATTACATTTTACCAAATGGGATGTCTGTAGCATATGTGCAAACAATATATCAATACAAAAATCCTGGGAAAAGATGGACTGTAGGCTAATATCTATGTTAAAACAATAACAGGTCAAAGCCCACTTGGGCCACAGCTAAACAGTTTCATATGAATAAACTATATACCTGTCTACCAATAATAATAAATATGACAATATTTATTATTATTGTGATAATCATGTCATAATATGCCACAAGCTTTTCTGAGCGTATTGTGCATATCTTAAGTCAAAAAACTTTCCAACTGCATGTTTAATTACAAAAAGAGCATGATTAGTCATGTTTAACTGGATTTAGTGTTTTATTGTATGAAACGTTAAATATAAACAACTGGATTCATACTTTTTGATAGTAGTTTTTAAACATGGTGTCTGTTCCAACTTACCAGATGTCAGAAAAATATTGTGACATATCATATATTGTGATAACTTCTCAAAGTATCGTGATATCACAGATTTTGCCACATTGCCCACCTCTACTGAAAAAAGCTGCTGATGGTATTCTATGGAAACTAATAAAAGCTGGGTATAAAAGCAGGAATACAGATAATAGGTGGATATAGACTGGAAGGCCACAAGCAGTCTTTCACGCAGTCATCCAGCGACTTACATTCCAGAACAAACCAACATCACAGGGTCTACACTGACCTCCTCATACAGACAACATGAAGCTTAAGCATTAATCACTGTTCCTGAAACAGGTGAAAAGGAAGGAGAGAAAAAGAAATGGACAAATGTAATGACCACCAGACCTTAAGCTGACCTTAGAAGAGCTCCAGCGTGCTGGTAGCAGTCCATTGTGATGCTGAAGCGAAAAAGCAAGATCACCAGCCTGCCTACATTATTCCCTGCAAAGGAGGCTCTAATCTGCTGGTCAATTTTTCTGTGCACTACCCAAATTAGTTCCCCTTGCTCACCTTTTCCTGTTTAACACAAGAGGCTTTACTGGCATCAATGGTAGTTAAGAATGTTTACAAAGAATCTGTAATCTCTCATACATATATCTAGTATATTTGAATATGTTTACCCCTCTCTCTCTCTCTCTCTCTCTCTCTCTCTCTTTCTCTCTCTCTGTCTCTAACTGAAACTCTAATGGCTTGTCCTCAAACCTCAAACCCGGCATTTCCTGTTATCTACTAAAATATCCCCCGACCTCAGCACTTTCAGTCTGCTGTTCTGAATTCTAATGTGACCTTAAGAGCACACTGCAGTGTGAATAATCTCAAACGCTGCTGCTCCATCCTGTCAGTAAGCTTTGACAACAATGTATGCATTTGATATTCCTTTAAAACCCTTCACAGTAAAACGCTGAGCCTCAGAGGCGATCTCCTCCTCGTCCGTTTGTGTCAGGGGCTTTGGATAAACTTTAAATAACATTACGCAAGCTGCTTCTTGTGCCACCGCAAACATAGTGTGATACACATTAGGCGAGAACCACACCAGCTGAGAAAAACAAACCAATCACAGAGACATCAGAAACTTTGGTTAGTGTAACTATAAGGAAAACACCTGAGCTCTCTGTGCTCTGGCAAAACTTCATATATCTGGATCTGAGATCATCTAAAGCCACAAACACAAAATGCATCAAAGAGGTAGTTCTATGAAATTTCTAGGAAAAGCTAGTTCTAACTAGAAGACGGCCATATAGAATGACATTTTAGTAGCATTCTAGGGCTTTAAATCAAACAAAAGTTATTGTTTGTAAATATGTCTCATAATACGTGAATATTATAATAAATTATAATCAGCCATGCACAGATATAGGATATTTTTCATACACATATCTGCCAATGCTGATAGCAATGCTGTTACATTTCTAAACTGTTTTGTATATGTGTAAAATGGAAAGACATGTACCTGTATTAGATTTACAGAGAAATATGTAGGGTTGCAAATGCAGAAAAATAACCAAAATTTATGCCATCCATTTGTAGCAAACCCACTCTCTGAAAACACTCAAGTGTCACGCAGCATCACAAGTAGTACTTCGGCTAGTGGTCTGTTTCCAATGCCATTAACTTGTATTAAAATGTATTAATAATAATAAAAATTAGAAGAAGAAGAAGAGCACGAAGAAGAAGAAGAAAAAGAAGAAGAAGCTCAGTTTTTTCAGCACCTTTCTCAAACCCAAGGTCACTTTAAAAAGGCAGGGAAAAAACCTTCAGTGCGCAGAAGAATGAAAGTGTTGAGAAAAAAGGTATGTTTTTAGCCGAGCTTTGAAGGAGGAAAGTTAAAGACAATCACATATCACAGCTATATTACAGGATTACCCTGTAATATAGCTTTCCTTTATTTGAAAGACAAAAATATATAGTACACTAAGTTCAGTTCTTATTTAATATGAGTCTTTTCCCTGAGCATTTAAAACGAAGAGCTGGACGAGCTGAATGCCTACTGCAAAATACAGCACAAACACACACAGTAATCTGTCAGATCAAGTGTGAACAGGGCCTAAGACTTTTGCACAGTTCTTTATGTTGCACACACTGCATTGGCAGCCTGCTTCACTGCTGAGCTGCAGCAGCTAGTATGAGTGAATGCTTCGACTGTGATGGGTTTGACAATTCACACTCACGAATTTACACTCTTCCTATAGGTTGAAGAGAATAAAACTGCAAGTGTAAATTTGAGGTTACTTTTGGGTTTTGGGCTTAATGCTGGAGGTTTACCATCTTAACCGTAAGTTCTGAGTTATGCATCATACAGATTTGTTTCAGTACTTCTGCTATTACTGAGCAGAGCACTATTACTCTACACTGAGTGAATGAACGCTCAGATCTATGTATAATGCAACGCTACACACTCAAGAGGACATAGAAGGTTGTGTCAGTGACCTAGTGCCATCGTTCTGTGTGAGCGTGTGATGCCAGCAGGTTATCAGCCGATGAGATAAGGGAATATGCCGAATCAGCAGAGGCCAGAGAGAGAGAGAGTGAGAGAGAGAGAGAGAGAGAGAGAGAGAGAGAGAGAGAGAGAGAGAGAGAGAGCGCAATGTGTAGTTGAAGCCAATTATTTTAAATAAAATGTAGACACGCTGCTAAAAAATTAGAGTATTCCAAATATGACAACACCCCAATATCACCACAACAGACCTACTGCGGCAGTGACAGCACAACAGTAGGTCCATCTGCATAGCGCCAAAAATACATTCTGTTTCCAAGCTGTCAGAACGTTCACGACTTTGTCTAGCACCGAGACCGTCTAGCAGGAGATCATTCTGCAACATATACGTGTGCGGCAGAGTCAAAGACGTCACAGTCAAAGCATTCACTCACTCTAGCTGCTGCAACTCAGCAGTGAAGCAGGCTGCTGTGATGTGCTGCAGCTGCCCATGCACTGTGTGCAATATGCAGTACTGTGCAAAAGCCATAGGCCCTGTTCATACCAGGAATTAGCATAACCACTGTCTCAAAGGATCTGATCATAAGTAGACAGGGAGACGCGTAGCTGCTTACACCTGGCATTTTCATGTATCTCGAATGTGTCTCCAGTGGCCACTTGTGATCAGATTTTGTGACTGGATGAAGGAGACCCTGCACATTTACTACATCAGTCTCTTTCTGCATATGTTATACAAAAATGTCCCATGAGTCCTTGTTTATGTACATGTACAGGCTGTTATAAATGTTTAGATGAATGGATTGCTAGAGGACATGGAAAAAGAATCAACGCAGATGCTTTGGGTCCTGCTGTGATGACGCAGATGATTAAGGTGGTCCTTTGTTGTTGTCGAGGATGTGTTAGCTTACTTCCCTGACATCCCTGACCACATCTGAAGGTGATTTGAGTCATCAGATAGGGCTGGGCAATATAACAATATTTTATCATTATTGTGATGCATTATGCACATTATGCTTTTCTGATTATATCATGGATATAGTCAGTAATTCAAGAACCCTGACTGACTGCATGTTTTTTTCACCGGAAGAGCATAAATTAGTCCAATTTAGTTGTGTTTAGTACAACAGAGTATGTGAAACATTGAACAAAAATCACTCGTCATCGTTTTTCAGAGTATTTTTAAATCTGGCACTACTGGTTATGTTTTTTTTCTGTTACAACTTATCAAACCTCAAAACTTAATACTGTGATACATATTGTATATTGTAAAAACAGCTTCAAGTATCGTGATGATATATTTTTGTCATGTTGCCCACCC